TACATTTCCTAGTATCACCTTTCTTGTAAAGGTAAAAACCACAGTCCTTTCATATTATTTTCTAATATGCTTGTTGCCTATGTACGCGCAAAACTGTCAAAGCAGTTCGGTTTCGCCCTTTCCATCTATCTTTGTGCAGAGAGAATAATACATTCAATATTAAAATTTCCTATTTTTTATAATATGGTACAAATTCCGAACAATTCAAGAATAACGAGAAGAATAACGAGCTATAACTAATATAAGATACCTTAAAAAATCTTGTGAAAATCCACTAAACAGAAGGAAAGCTATGAGCTATAACTTTCTCTATATACATTTCTATATTCATCTTCAAAGTTAATATAGTCCCGATGTGCACATTCAGCAATCGAAAATAAAGTGGTTTTCACCATAATAAACCTACAAGGTTCACTTAATATCATCCATACTGCAATTGATCCCGTTTTAGCAGCATCTTGAAATATTCTGTTCATCTATCTACTATACATTCATTTAGCTATATAATGAATATAACTGGTCCTTTTTATCTATTCCGAGGTTTTGGCACTTCCGTTCTATTTCCTATTTATTTATGATATAGTCCAACTTCTGCACAAAATAAAGGAAATAAAAATTATTTTTTTAATTAGTGATATATGAGTTTTACTAAACAACGCCGTAGCTATTCATTATATATAGTTCAGATTAGGTATATATTATTTTAGTTTATAAAAAAGGTATGAATATGACTCATTTCCTGGGAAGTATATAAAAATTTTAATTACTTCTAAGAATAAGTAAATATTCAAAACACAGTGTTAAAATGCAAACGTTAAATAAAAAAAAATCAAGATATTTAGCAAAATATTTTTTAATTAAGTTTTATTATTATAATTATATCATTTTTACAATTGAGGTATTCTTAAACGACCTACGTATAGAATAAAGGAGGTTAAAATTTAAAAAAATAATAATAAATTTTTTTTTTAATTTTAATCTTTTTTTTACTATTAAATTATTGCATTAATATTTGTTCGTTAATAAAACCAATATAATGTACCAAAAATGTTATTATATCACTATAACTAAGCCATTTATGGGCACTGAATGGTGTGGTAGAGGCCTGTAGGCACCCACGCCAGTACCGCTTTTCTGCCGCATAAGTGCATTTTTTACGGAACTACTTAAACATTTGTAAAAAATAATCAGCGTTTCAGAAAGAGAAATATATTCTCCAGATGGTTTATTTCAGCACGTTTTGCGTTATTGTAGGCCGTTTAATTACAAACGACGCTTGGTTTGTAACTTGAAAATTTTTTTGTTAAAAAAATTGACTTTACTAGTGTTTTTCATAGCCTTAGCCAATTATTTTTTAATATTTCTTCATGTTTTATTATTCTATAACTATTCAGCTTTAATAAAAGACCAACTATGAGGAAATTAAGCTTAATGCTGATTCTCAGTGACCAAAAAACTAACTAAAGTCAAAGTCGTCAATCCGCCATCTTTGGACGCCATTTTGGGGCAGTGCGTTCACTTTTTTTCGTGGGAACATTGGCTTTTTTTTAATAAATTGTTACAAGGAACACAACGATATGCAATTTATAGGGATGTGGGGGGGGGGGGTGCACGGTAAGGGGGTCTGGCCCACAGACTATTACACTTTGTATCCAACTATTGGAAAACTGGTTGCCTTTCTCCAATTGTTTCTTCTATTATGAGTAGATTCTTTTCTCCTTATTCTCCGTTCCCTTAATTTTTCCCAGACTCCTGGTAGACCGCGCATTATCCGATGTCAAGAATCAATCCCTTGATCGATCATTTTTATCGGACTATGCGAAGCATTTAGTGTTCCTCCCGAGAACTGAGCCTTGATGACTCAATGATACTTTGGAGGGATAGGTTGTACTTTCGCCAGTACATCACCAACAAACGTTATAAGTTTGAGATCAAGATATATATGTTGACCCCAACCTAATGGCGTTGTTTTGAAATTGCTGATCTATACAGGATCTCGGGATAAGCTGGTAGGGGGACATTCTACAAAAGTTGTTGGTCACCTGATCGATGACTATCTTGGGACAGGTCATGCGATCTACATGGACAGCTTTTATAGCAGTGTTCCTCTTGCCCACGACCTCATTTCTCAGGGTACCTACATGACTGGTACCTTGAAACGACAGAGGTCTGGCAATCTCCGTGAAGTGACTGAGGTAAAGTTAAAGAGGAGAGAATTCGTGCAAAAATTCAGCAACAAAGGTGTTTGCATCTTGAAGTGGCCCAACAAACAAGAAGTAATTGTCTTGTCCTCTGAATTTGGTCCTTATATAAGGACATTCATGGTAGAGGAAAGTCTGTGGTAAAGCCAGAGGCCATTTTCAAATATAACCAAATTTATGGGCAACATTGATAATAGGGATCAGATGATGTCATATTGTCCGATTGAATGAAAAACCCTTAGATGGTATAAAAAATTAGGAACCCAGATTATTCATATTATGATGCATAATAGTTATTTGTTTTACAAAAAAAAAAAAACAGGGATCAATATGAAGTTGCTGGAGTTCAGGGATTCCGTAGTAGAAAGCCTCATAGGTGAGAATGCTGTCCATCCTGTCCCTGTCCCTGTCACTCGCATTCATCTGCCAGCGAAGCTTCCAACTGGGAAGAAGAAAAGATGTCGCCAATGCAGAGCAGTCGATAGCTTGGAGAAAAGGACAGCCATATTTTGCCCTGACTGTCCACAAAAACCTGGACTTTGTCAAAACCCCTGCTTCAGAGACTTTCATAATTATGTATAATGCACAAATTGTTTATATTAATATAAATAAATATAATATATTATATATATATATATATATATATATATATATATATATATATATATACATATATTATATATTATATAATATATATATTATATAATATATCTATATATTAATATATATATATATATATATATATGCATTATAATATATATTATAATGTTTAACTAATATAAAACTAATTTTTAATTTTTGTATATTTTTACATTCATTAATCTTTACATTTGTATCTTACATTTATTACATTATATATGTAATTTAATAAATAAACGTAAAAATATACAGAATTAAAATGATACTTTAGTTGTTTACTGAAGAATCCTATTTACTTTCACCTTCCTCGACGAATTAAGAAAATAGGTAACCTGGTGGAGAGGATATTAAAGAAATCCATGCTTTTGGCAGCAATGAAATATCAGCAGAACATTACCTTGAATAAAATGTTTTAAACTATATTACTACAAATTATTAAAGGTTCAGTACCTTGTAATTGAAATAAAATTTTCTATAAAACAAACATGCAATAAAGTATGCTCAAGATTATCAACTACCTAAGTTTTCTCTTTCTTTAAGTTTTCTCTTATACAACTAGTTGTGCCCTGTGTATTCATTAACATTAAATTTGATTAACTACATGACCACGGTTTTACTAACATTAAATTTATGACTACATGACAACGGTTTCACTAACACTAAATTTGATTACTATATCTGATCAACTGAATAAAATCCAATATATTTGTCAATGAAAATGATTTATCACTTGAAAAAAAAAATGATAAAAAGCACCTGCTATTTGATGACTTTATATCAACAAATATTTGTATGCACACTTTATTTTATTAAGTGTTTAAAAAAACTTATGGTATTTCAGTGTAAACATTATTTTAATTATTTTTTTCTGTGGTTTAAAGTATGTACCGGTTTTCTTTGGTATCTGATCTAAATAGGTAACAGAGAGTAGTCCGCAGGAAAGTCACCTCTTATGTCAACTCCGATTTGCTCAAAAGTTTGTCACTGTTCTATTTGTAATGATTACTAACAATATTTATGTGAAGCTGTCCTATATCTAATTGAATGCTGCTTGGTTTCTATAGGACATAGCATGATATTAAAAGCCTGAGCTTTCCTCAATAAAAGATCGAAGTAACGCAAATAATGTGTGTTTTTCGAATCAGACTGGTAGTTCTTAAAATTGGTGCGTTCAAATAAACAAACTCTTCTAGTTTATTTATTAGTAGAGATGGATGGTTCTTTCCAGCAAAAATTATAAGTCCATGCATTCTAGTTATGAAGGCGTTTTATAAAGTTATTAAAACATCTAATAGAAAAAAAGTTATGTTCCTAATCTATAGTAAACAATCTTAATTTTTATTGTACTGCAATATAATGTATATTTTTGTTATTTGAGGAGTCTACTGACAAAAAGGAATGATTTCCATACAAAAAAATTCGCAATTGATGAAAAACATTTACTATTCGTCGGTCTGCCTTCTTAGTAGCTTTATGTTTGGTTGTAAAAATTAACTTTTTAGTAAATATTTAGCTTAATCATATGATAAACATTTAAACAATTGAGTTATTCTATTTCTATAGAAAAGTGATTGATTATTATATTAAATAAAGAAAATTTTATGTAATATTTACTAATTTTATTTATTTATTTATTAATAATCTTCTATAAAATATTATGAACTCATTTTACCTTACATAACTATTATTAAAATTTGAAATTAAAAGTAGTATTGATTTTATTATTATTAAACAGCCTTAGGCAAAAATTAAAAGTTAATTTAAATTAGTTGTAAGTAAAGTTTATTAAATGATGTTCTCAGAATTTAAAGAAATTTAACAAATAAACTGAGAAAATTATTTTATTATATATGATATTGTTATTATTATCTTGTGGATCTCAACAAGTTTTCTGGTATCTTCCTGTTTAGGAATAATATTTTCATATTGTTTCATAAAGTGATAGAAATGAGAAGAGATGAATATCCATTTCAGTTTAAAAAAGAGCATTTTCTAAAGGATTTAGTTTTAGACAATAATAGAATTTCTGAAAAAAAAAAAAATAGGGTTATCCTTTCTACTGATAGACAGTTCATCTATTCTATTGTATTAATATTTACTTAGCCTTTTCTTTTAAATTTGATATTTTAAAGTTTTATGTTCATCTAATTTGGTTCTCAGTATTTGCCCATGGCCTTTGGAGGAGATTGCACCCATCATTGAAGAGATTTGGCTGTGACGAATGTGGAAAAGTATTTAAGCATCCACGTTCTCTTGATCATCATAAAAAGATGCATGAAGGTCGTACCACCTGTCCCTATTGCCGTAGAGTGTTCGGTAGAATGTATGCTTTGCGCCTTCATATTAGTAGTTCTCATCCAGGTGTGACAGACATTCCGTCCGTTCATTCAACGAAATCTCATTAGCAGTTTTTGTTTTTTAAGTAGGAAAAAAACAGGTGCAAGCAAGGAATCAGTTTTTAAGTTTATATAATTATCCTAACATTTGGATATATAACTTCCAATTATTTAAACTTAATTTTATTTTAAAACTATTTCTAGACTGTTTCAGTGTAGACTTAGAAAGCTGTTTTGTCATATATTTATTTTTAAAATATTTTTAATATCTGTTAGCATTTCCTTTCCTACTTTATTGATTATAAGTAGCAGCATATTTATGAACTGTCTATAAGCATTTGGTGGTAGCGTACACACATACCTTTAGAATGGTGAATTGATAATTTTTATTTTATAATTATTTAACCTGGTATAATTAAAAAGAATTCTAAGCACCAGTTATTCCAATTTAATGGACCAAAATTGACATTTTTATTTAAATTAATTAATATATTACTTTTAAGGCAAATATAGAGCACCAAATAAAATGTTTATACCACAATTTTCACAGTTTGAAGTATGTTCTCAAATCTTTCAACTTTTTGGGAAGTAGAATTATCTCCCTCTCCCTTCCCTCTTCTATAACAATGTCCATATCCATTACTGAATTTTTCGCAAGACTGAACACTCATATTATTTTTTTTTTCTCTAGTCCAGCTATATTTTGTTCTCGAAATTTGTACAATCATATAAACGATATCAAGAAGTAAAAAGAGTAAAGGGAAAAAAAACTATCTTCAATGACAGAAAGTCTGATGCTTAGAATTCTGAAACATTTTTCTAATCCAATAACGAATATTCTGTAATCTTTCTTCCAAGTAAAAAATGGTGCACTAAAGATATTTTTATAGTTTATTATAGGAACACGATGGATACTAAATATTTTTGCAACTTTCATTTATTATATTAACCATTGATATATCTATATCTATGTATAAAATGCACTGTTATAATTTTTGCCAAGCACACTGTATCTTCCTAGTCATTTACAAGTTAATTTTTATGTTGGGAGTGTTTTACATCTGAATTTTGTTTGTTTCATAATCCTTTTAATAACATATAAAAAAACTGTCCACATTTTTATAAAGTTGCCTTATAGTTCATTTAAAAGGATATATATATATATATATATATATATATATATATATATATATATATATATATATATATATATATATATAATGTTTATTCAATTGCAATTATGCATGTTCTATATTAACAATTCTATTTTGCCCAAAGATTTACATTAAAAATTATGCAATTATTAAGAGTTCCTTGTAAGTGAAATAACATTTATTATAAGATAAAATAGTTTTATATATTTAAATTTTTATTTATATGATAAAAGGTGCAGGAAAAGTCTTTATTTTCAGAATGAATTATAGTAGATAATAATATAAGTAAAAAATGCTTAAGTCAGAGTTTCTAATTGTTAATTTATATTAAGGTAACAATTGAATGTTGTTGTTTTTTTTCTTTTTTTATTCATGATATTATTCTGATGACTATTACATTGGATAAATAATAATAACTCTACTACATTACCACTATTCACACATTGAAGGAGACAGGAGTTCAAAATTAAGTGTTAAAGATGAAAATATTCTTTCTGGTCCAATTAAGCATTAGACTTTTAAAATTAAGTGGTGAATTGATCAATATATGTGGTTTGCGTACTGCTACTACTTCTGCCAAAACTGGTATTGCTGAATAGCAAGGAAAGTAAAAAATAATGAGAAACTTACATTATAGAGTTTTGTAAGACCATCATTTCTGGAAGATAACTTCTAATTTATTTTACGTTATAGATTCAACTTTGACAGTTGCTAAAATTCAATAACTGCTTGTGTAGATTCATTCATAAATGACGACTGGTAATTGAATTAAGTTTAGAAATTCAATATTTTATTTATTTTTCTATAAAGTTTAGAAATTCAATATGTTATTTATTTTTCTATGTATACTAGTTTTTAGATCTTTATTATAAGACTGAATTAATTATTGATGAAATCAATATGTTGCTATAGTTCTTCCTGTTCACATGTAGAATTTGATTATAAATGAAGTTGTTTAATTTTCATAAAATATATTATGTTTATTATTTAATCCAAATCCTTCTTGCTTGTGGCCACTATTTTGCTTTGGGATTTGAACTCAATGTTCATAATAACTCTGATTTAAGCATTTTTACAGCGCATATAAGTATATTATTTGTTATTGAAATTATTATTTTACAAAATTATATTTCTTTATGATACTAATTTAAATTTTACACTGAATATAAAATATCTAAGTGAAAATGTTCTAGTCAATATAAAATTTACACTTTTAGTTATTTATGAAACAACTATATTTTGGCCTTTGACAGCAACTATTGTTTTATTTATTTAAATTTAATCAAAGGTGTAAAATATGTGATTTATTTGTGATTGGTTGATTTAGTAAATGAAAAGACAATTTTATGAGGACTGAATGAGCCTGATTATTAAAATTACCAAAGAACATTGCTCTGGTCAGTTTTTTCCCATTTAATATTATTTTATTCATTATTGTTTAGGCAAAAAATCTTAAATTATTGTGATCTGTTCAAAAGTATTGCAAAATTTATTTACTATTTTTTTTTTACTAAAGAATTGTCCGAAAGTTTACCCTCCCACTTGTGGTAAGTAAGATTAGATATTTGTTTTGACTTCTTTCTGTTTATTATATGCATTTTATATCTTTAAGAAAGAAAAATATATAAATTTATCATTTAACTGTATTAGCTACATATTAACAAGTTACCTGTTATTATTTTAATAATTAATTTTATTTTTAAATTATGCTTACATTTTATACCAAAAAAGTAAACCATTGTAATTGTGATAAGATATGATTATTTTGTTTAATAGAGTAATAAAGACATTTTCTTATAGTTCTTTATAAATAAATATTATTTTACAATTTTTGTATGTGACTTTTATCCCATTGCCAAATCCCACCTACCCATCAAATTCCTGATTTCTACTATGAGGAAAGCCACAGCTTAATTCTTAGAAAGAGCATTGCTACTTTTTTCACTAATGTATTCCACAATTATATACCATGAATAAACAAGAATGCTTTTTATTTCTCCCCTTTTTTTTGTTGCCATTCCACACATTCGTTTGAATAATTGATGCCCTAAACCAAAAAGTTTAATTATTGCCTGAAATAAATTTGTTACAGAATAACATGAGATTATTCATCAGTTTAAAAAAAAAAAATCTTGTGAAATTCTTTGATTATCAGCAAAAACGATTACAAATATTTTATTTTTCCAATCCTCATAATTGAGATCTATGTAAAAAGCTCTGGTACATTCTCATTTAAGTGATAATTGATAATTTAAAAATAATTTTGTTTTTAAAGCAGAATGTTCTTAAGTATAAAGAAAGTATATTTTAGTAATCAGTTTAATAAAATCCATTTCAGGACACTAACAAAAAATTAAAGAAATAAGTTAAAAGATATCAAGTTTATTGTAATTATTTTTTCTGAAAACACATGGTTTGACTAGTAAATTAATGAATTTATGAGTAGAGCCTGAATTTCATGCCTTAAAATAAAAGAAATAAATAAACAGATCAATCCTACAATTAACCTTTATATTAAAATTTTTGTAATTCAATATTTTAGTAATAACTAAAGATAATATCACAAGAATCTGAGTTCAACTCATGTGCAAATTTAGAAAAGGGTTATGGTTTCTCAATGATTGCATGAGTAAAATGTTAGTAATGACTGTGTTGAATATATTATGGCAAAAATATGCGAAGTTAAAGATATGCATAAAATAAACTTGGAAACACTTATTTTAGTCAGTCATAAAAGCACATTTTGGAAATGGTGGATGCAATTTCTTGAAAACATGACAAAAGGAATTAACTGTTTAAAAAATTGATCAAAACAAGATTTTATTGTTTTATAACAACAAACGAAATATTTATATAAAAGGTAACATATTATAATCTAAGTCAATTTACTATACATCACTATGTAATATAATTACTATGATCCTACACTTTTGGACTGTTCGCCTTGCATTCGTTTGATAAAATCTTCATCTTGAGTTGAAAGCATTGTCAATTTCTTGCCAACTCTTTCATGAATATCTAAATATTTGGCAACACAGCGGTCTATGCATACAGATTCACCTTTACCAAGCTCGGCTTCGTTATATTTAGGAGGAATACACTTTTTATGGCAAGCATTAGTTAGTCTTGTGTACATATCTGCCATCATTTCTATCTCTAAGTCTTGCACAAGTTGCATCTTGGCCATGTCCAACTGGCCCATATTTGCTGCCATGATTTACAGCCAATAAATTACAAGTTATTCTGAAAATTTTCTGTAGCTTTCAGGGTAATCTCCAATATTTGAGTTTCGCATACGTTCTCGTACTTTCATACTTTCATATCGCCTGCTGTCAATAGACCTTTTAGAAAGGACAAATGCGTACAAACCACCAGCTATAGCAACAGCCCTATAAAAAAAGAAAACTGGTGATCAATAAAGCTATAATCTACTCAAAATTATTATACCATAACAAATTATTAGTAACAAAATAGTAATGTCTAAATGAAAGAAATGTGAAGATCATTTTCATCAAACTGTGCACGGAATGCTAAAGCATGTTGGTAGCCTGTTTTTAGATTTGTTTTTTTAAATGTTTGGAAACACATAAAAAAAGAAAAATATTGCAAAAAGCTACTACATCTATTACTATGGTATATATTATTGATGGTATATTTACTTATTGATGAATTTAAATCTCAAAGTATTGTATGGATTTCTAAGCAAATTTATTGATGCAAGAACACTGTTAAGTACATCCATATGAAATAAACCTTTTTGTAAAACAAAAAGTTACTTTAACTGCACAATGTTCGGATTTCACAGAGGAAAAATTTATGAAAGTATTTCGTGACTTTAATTTATAAAATGTTAATTAATTAATTTTTGCATTTAAACCGCAAAATGAACAAATTAAATGGATTGACTAAAAGATAAAAATATAATTTAATGCAATAAGAATCTAATTGCCCAAATAGAATAATAATTGTATAGGTGAAGACATATTTAAAGCAGGGATTGAAGCAGTTATTTTTATTTTACAAATAAGTTTAATTTAAACTGCTTGAAAAAAAGCTGTTATCAATAAGAAGTTAAGAGTAAAAGATTTTTTTCAAAACTGTTAAATAAAATTCATAAAAAAGTATTTGTTAAACTTATACTTATTCTCTATAAAAATAAAAGTACAAAAATTACAAATTATAACAGAAATATCTTATTACACTGTTTGATACACAGAGCGGAAAATTAATAAATTCCAGAAAATATTTTAATGCTAAATTAGTGAACATTACACAATGCAAAGTTTTATTAGTTAAATCAGAATTGTTTTATTAGAAAAGTAAAAGCTTTAATTTTTTTAAATTAACGAAACACATACTATCTTGTTCCATACCTTGTAAATATTTAAATGTATAAGAATAATTATTATGTTTTACATAACAATTTACATATACTGATGATTATATATTGTGTTAATAAAAACGAAAAAGCATATTACTTTTTTCATTAGAACCTATTCTAGTAAATGGTTTACAAAGACTGTTATATAAAAGCTTTTAATAATGAGGTTTCAAATAATAGTTAAGAATAACTGTTTTAAAATGGCATGTATCAATAAAGTAAAATTTCAAGAAAACTTTTAATATATCCACATGTATAGATAAAAGTTAAATTTTAATTTTAATTACAAGAGTTAACTGTTTCATTTGACCCTTGATTTAAAGCATCAGTAGTGAGTTAAATATTTCTGCAGTAAGGTGCAGCACTTTTAATATAATAATAATTTTTAAACAGATAGGAGTATTAAAAGAATGCAGAAATAATAGTTGGCAGAAATGAGATAAGTATGCTAGGATGTTAGTAATAATTACTAAACAAAGTTTATTACATTAGTAAACTTCTTTATTTTACTTAGTCAAAATAGGAAGTTCAGAGAGGTCATATTATCATTGGTCGGAAACAAAAAAGTTATATATATATTCAGGTACAGTTTGTAAAACAATCTAACTTCAAGGATAAGTAGGTTAATATCCTTATATACAATTATTATTTGGAAGTGAATGGTTATCGGTATCCTTTCGGAAACAATTAGCTAATTTCAACATTTCATATACACCGTGATCGATGTGATTTTGGCCCACATAAAGACACTAATCTACTAAGTTTTATTAAATTACTTTGTTAGAATTTGAGGAGGAATACACTGACAATATATTAACCAAGTTAAGAAAATTCTTTCATTTACTTTCTTTACAAACCTAATCTAACTTTAAACAAATGAACTTAGTTTTTTAATTGTTCAATTAAGCACTTTAACAAACATGTTACCATTCATTAGGTGGTCCAAAAGATTGTCTACAGCATTGACAGAAAAAAATTAAATACACATTTAGATAAGATATTGTATGATAATAACGGCTAGGAGACAGATAATATATAGAGAAAAAATAAATGATCAGGAAAAGGCATTTTAATTTAAGACTAAATATTCTAACCAAATAACACAATGTTACAACAGTTATTATTGTTAACATTTGATGGTAAATTGAGTATATATGCTAGTTATTTGTCAAAAGATATTATATCTAAAAAAACAGATCAAAATAAATCACCCTTACCACCCAACTGAAATCTTTGCCACAGTACCCAGAGGCATTATCAACAACTCATTTCAGCGGCTTACTATCTTCGGTATTCAGGAATTAATGTAACATTAGACTATATATCATAAATTAATATATATATAAATATATGAAATAAATAAATCACAGATTTTCTAAACCACGAGGAAATTCAAAACTTCGAAATGATCTAACTTGGTATCGATTCCGGAACTTTTGAGTATAGAAATCAGAGAAAGTCTACAACGCAGTGAAGTCACTTCCATAGTGATCTATTTTATTTAAAGAAGTTGAAAGATAAAATTTGACTATTCATTACATTTTTTTTAATAAAGGACCAAGCCAGGTCAGTTCGGCTCCAAAATCAATACTTTATATATATATTTTATATATTTTTAGTACAGTGGTATATTTGGTCCGCAATTGTTTTGTATTTTTTGTTTCAACGCAGAACCGATCGGGAACACCTCTAAGGGCTCCAAAGATCATTATTTTCTATTTATCTAATAATTATATTGTGTTAGTTTATTTCATAGGGCCTCTCCAATTGGTCCCCAACATAAATGTTTTACAATTTTTTATCGCTATAGAATGATAGGGGACCCTATCTGAAAGACCTTAAGGTTATTATTTTGTATTTATTTAGTACCGTTTTATGTTTGTCCCCAAATTCTCACACTTCAGTCTAGGTTTAAAAAAAATAAGAAAAAAGTAACTAATTAGGATGCTCACTGTCACTATCATTTGAGTTCCTCTGTCTCCCACTGAAGCATAAGGCGTCAACGAGTGCTTTCCGTTTGTCCAAGGTCGAACATTTTACGAACACGAGGCCGAGAACTTTGGAATTTGCATCTCAGTCACATCTTATAGAGGGAAAAAAAGAAACCTTTTAACACCAAATGATGATGTTTAGACCCTCCATTTCATGACAAGTGCAATGAAGTCCATACCGTTATAGAATAGAAAATAGAACTTTATTCTGGGACAAAGTCCCCTTACAATAAAAAAGATGAATTAATATAAAATAAAATACAAATCTGGCCAAAAACTAAATTATAATTAGTGCATTAGTCTGTGGTATCGACATGAAACATGTATACCATAATGACACTAAGAAAAGGAAAAATAATAAGGTAAAATCTTTAGAATTCGTTCTTATCAAGTATATATATATATATATATATATATATATATATATATAGTAAATTTAGATTCCAGTGGTTTAAATGTCCTGATAAGAGGGCCTTATTTAAGACTTTAGCCGAGGGCCCCAAACCGAGCCTGGACCAAACTAATAAAAAACCTATTACAGTTAAAAACATTTTGCACAAGAGAAGAAAATTCTCACTGTTTTTTGTTTTACTATGCGTTTGATTTCTACAGGTTTTTAAAACGATCATTTATTGGAGATGGGAAAATATCGGAGAGATGGGGACATTATGATGGAATATTATGTGGTAAACAAAAATGAGAGGGAGAGGAACAATGGGATGGATCCCTCCCCATCCAAATACACAATTCCCCGTCCAAACCCAGAGGAATCCTGAAACATTGTATCGTCCAAGGCCTTCCAAGGCCCTTGTATCATATGTATATATGATTTATTATTGCTCAATATAATTTTTACAAGTTGACAATCTTTCAATAATATTGAAGGATTTTGAAAATAAAATAAATAAAAAATTGATATCAACAGGTTTGATTGATGTGAATAATGCACTTACAGTCAATATATTGACAAAATTCGATATTGACCATGTAAGGGGCTTTTTAGAAGCTAAGTTAAAAAGCAGGCAAGCCAATGCTACTTCTAATCAAAGTCATAGTTTGGGAAGAACTGAATGGAAAGTCTGATATATCTTGTATTTATACAACTTAAACATAGCCATTTCCACTTTGGAATCTACAACTAAAAACCTTTAGTTAGTAGTTTTATAGACCTTGATATTTTTGGTTGTTTCCAAGATCTATAGAATTAGAAGATAGTTTTATTAACATTTTCCAGAAAATATGCCACATTTTCATTGCGGCTATTCATCGTTAATTATTTTACCATTCGCTTATATTACAAGGAAGGTAATAAAATACAATTTTTCTGAATTTTGAAGGGACAATGAACATCATTCATTGTCGTCCTTTTCATTTCTTTTTTATAATTAGGAATTTTATGAATGACAATGTCTAATTAAATTAATAGCTTGGTTTAATATCAATAAAACTGATTTTTTATATTTTGAACAAAACAACATTTCTACACGCATCTTATGGTGATAACTTCCTTCCGGTAGTCAACAGTTTTATAATCATATGTTACTAACACTATTATAACCTTTACCTAATTTTAATGTTTTTAGTTCTTCCTTTATGTAGATTTAGTTTAGAAGATTGGGTTTCTCGGTTTATTATTTTTCATTGAGATATCTCAAATATATTGGATCAGATTACGATTTACAGAACGAGAATGAACTGTTTTGAAGACTGACCTCCTTGATGTCGACACGTCTTGACCAAATGAAAACAAGCACTGGGATCATTGGTATGTTGATGATTGGACCTTTATTAATTTTTTTAGCTTTTGATGATCTGCTTACTGATGCAAGAAAGCATAAATTAGTACCACATTTTGTTTTTGCAACTAATGTTCCGTTTTTGAGTGTGCCATCGACATACACTTCCATAGTAGATGAATAAATGTCAGGAGAATTCAAAACTAGTTCCTGAAACTTGAAAAGTGTGTTGACTTTACTATTTTATTCGACCAGAACGGACAGCAGAAAATTAACACTCGGCAGATTAAAGGCTTTTAAGTTAAGTATCAACAGTCACAAAACGTTTTTTGCGTGTCGATAAAATAATCTTAGCACAAATAACACTTTGCGGATCACTGAAAACGTAAAGAATATCCAGAAGTTAATGAGTAGAGTGCGGTCAGCGATGAAACAATAACACACACAAAAAAGAAAAGTTATTTTATTGTATGTCAAAACGAGCTTAAGTTGCAGACATTCATCATAAGGCTTTCATATTATGTGGTGATAACCCTTTGGTATTGCAAATAGTTTATCACATGTTACCTCCACTATTAATATAAACATTATTGTAACGGTTAATAACCTTTTAATGTAATATTTTTGATAAATAAAGCCTTCGTTAAGTTTGGAATATACATGCCTGCATCGCGTCCGAGGTGCACTACGGCCCAATAAAAAGTACTTTCTTTATAAAAACCAAACTTGGCCGCAGCTAGTCACCGAGTGCTGATCTAATCTAACCAAACTATGTTTGGTTTAATTGACAAGGTACCTTAACTACGACGCGGTGCGGGTGTACGCATTCCAACTATTATGAATGCTTGGTTTATTGGTTTAGTACATATTTTATATTATACTGCAGTTCCTAATGAAGTAGCAATTCCTGTGAAATTCTTACACCTTTCGCCCTGATGGTGACGTAAAATTTAGGCTTAAACATTGAAACACGTAAAATGAAGTTGTCATATTTGTGTACTATTTTTCATCTTCTAAGACACTCTTGAAAAATCTTCAGATTAAACCGCGAAATGTTGTTTGTGCTTGAAATTCTCGATCGACACAAAAAAAAAAAAAAATTAAATAAAATAAAAAATGACTTCGGTAGCGAGGAAGCAAAAAACGGTCACGGCCACGGATGAATATATCGTAAAAACTACATAGTCCTTTTGTATACGAATGACTTTAGGAAATAAACATTCTCTTGTTAGACGACGAATATGTCTCTTTAAATTGATAAGTACTTGTTCTGACAATATCCTAACAAATGACCATACTAATCGCTGCGCAACTTGATCCGTGATGATAGATCCATGTTCTGGCATAATTTCGGACCGTGACGTTCCCAATACCTCTCCTCCATTGAATTGCAATTCTAACATCCCAAAGAACATTGTAAGGATAGACATTCATTACCATAGCTCTTGTATCCTTTTTCTCATCACCCATAGAAGAACTGACTGAAGACAAACGCCATAAAATCAAGGCAACGCTGTAATTCCTCTGATAATCATAAATCTATTGAATCTAAAACAATGAAATTCTTACGATGTGTTGAAGAAAGGTATAATTGAACCCAGCCAATCATTTTGGATCGCAGAAGATCTGATTGTATACAAGGACTCCCAATATTTACTGTTTTAGTAGCCTATTATTAAGTTGCCATCAAACCGGGAGACAAGCCCATCGATGATTTCCAGACAAACAACTTATTGTACCAGTTCTTGAATTCTTTTTGGTGTCAACAAAATAATGAAGTAGCACCTTTCCAGAGGACGTCATTATCTAGACAAAGCATCTACAAGTAACTGTGTCTATTTTGATCGAATGGAGGAATGATATAGAATATGACAAGATCCTGTTAAATTTTCTAATGGCAGCCCGCAAATGTGCAAGTACAACATCACATGAACGCAAGTTTCTTCATCATAGATAATCCATTAGCGGTGCACTCAGACGAAGCGGACTTGTCAGGAGAACTTCTACACTATCTTCAGGACTGTGTTTCTAAGTGCTCAGGGAACATTATGGTTACAACCTCCCTCCATTTGTATGCAGTTTCATCAATCATATATTACGAACACTCAGTTTTAATCATTTCAGCTCCGTGAGACAAAATCTCAGGTTTGACTCCTCAGTCATTGGAAGGACCCTAGAACTTGATTGACCGGCTAACAGTAAGCCTACTCGTGTCTATATTTGCACCGGTAGGGTGTCGCACGATTAGATTATTCAAAATGACTTAGACCAATTTAGCTTAGGTAGATCGAAGTAACGGTTTAATTTATTTTATAACTTAAATCTTTTTGGAAACCATAATTTATTTCGATTCAAAAGTATGGACCATGAAAGCATTTTCCGCTCAGAGTAAAAACTTTACTGGTTTATAATGGAACTTCCGTTGATATCTTTCAGTCTAATAACAAGTGGATGATTAAAATACTTTAAAATTTTATCTTCATTATCCAACATGAGCTTCTGAAAACTGTTTTAAGCTATTCGTGATATTCGATATCATAATCCTGATTCGCACAGTTAACTCTGGTGCTCTTTTTTGCTGGAACGGTACAGTAAATTTAAGAGAAGCTCCTAATGATTGTTTAAAACGGTACTTATACTATATTTTCTTTAATATTAAGAGACCTTACCCCACTCATGAGAGGGACGAAGCGAGGGAGACTTAACTGTGCATCTTATTCAAACCATGGGTTTTAAGAGATTTGTTTTTCACTCACAAGGCAATATTATCACTACCGATTGTAGACTTTCACCAAGATGATACAAAACTTTCTTATTCAACAACTTATTACATAATCAGTTCAGATGATGAGGTAAACTGATCAAAAGATGGAATCAGTGAATTCGAGTGTCTACTTACAGCTCACTCTATTCAACTATCAGCCTATATTTTTTTCTGTTTTCCACAATTCGCACGGTTCAAGTCTGTTTTTTATCGTACCCGTTTGTTCTCATTGAAGAGTCACATAGGGATTATGAGTCTAGAAATGTGAGAAGAAAGAAAATAGCTCGAGTTCGAGTCTCTTTCACTTCAAATCTGTCCCGCCTCTTAAGCGAAGGGCCTTATTATTTTTATACAAATAATTTTGCTGGGAACATGGTTTGCTGGGTTCGATGATATGTTTAGTTATTTATGATATTTGACTGATGTAGAAATCTAATGGTTATAGACTTGCTGTAGTTAATAAGCCTAAAGTTCTGTGGAATGAAAGCAGAAAAGTGAAAAGAAAATAATTTTAAGTTCGACGAATCATTTATTACAGCTTGAGCGCTGATGAGAACAATCAATGGAAATCAAAATTGTTTTTTAAAATTTATTCTACAATTATAATCATTTAAAAATCATATTGAGTTGTAATTTATAATTTTAAACGTAAAATGAATGTTATGAACTTTACTATTACTAGCCTGTTATCGAATAAAATCACTGCTCTTGTTTAATTAGTTACTAGGTATTAGTTTTATCAGATGTAACAGAACAGCTACTTTATGTAACCGTTCCACCTGTGAAAAGTGATAGCGATAGATACTCGGCTATTGTTTACGTTTTCTTGTTTTGATCTTGGACTTAAAACTTTGCACTGAAGGCTAATAATTATTTTTCAACAGGTAAGAGATGCATAAAATTATTCATGCTTGTAGTATAATATCTGTTTGGAAGTATTAATGAAACTTAACTCATTTACTTTATTATGAACCCTGTAATTACCGATCAAAAAATACTCTTTGACAGCTTATATTTCAGTTTTATCAAGTGTTATTTGTTAATTCTGTGGTGATTGTCAGATAGAATAGAATATACTTTAGTCACATTTTGTAAGGAAGTACTAGATGTTATTATGAATGCTTTAATTAGCTCTTTTGTTAATTGCAGAAAATCATTTTGTTCCTTGGTATTAATTTTGGTATCTTCCATCCTCAATTAAGGGTAGTTTCTATCAAATTAAGGATAATTCTTTACATATGATCTTTAGTCTTTATTATGATGGGAAAATGATCAAGTCATTTTCATTATGTAAGTTAATTGGGTACTGAATTATGCTTCTTATTTATTGTTTTGCCAGTTATTAATTGCCTGTCAATCTCGTTGTTTTATTTTAATATTAATTATTTTTTTAATATTATCTATCTTGGATTAATCATTACATAATTTTGTTGTGATATTTTGTAATGTCAATGAATTGTTGATATATTTTGAAATAGCAAATGACTAACTTTTAGTGCTTTTAATTTTGATTATACCTTAGTGCCAATTACTAAATATAGGATGACAATGTAGTAGATTCCATTTCTTGCCATTTAATATTTATTCTTGATGGACAATAATGAAAAAAGTTTGGTATTTGTTGTTAAGTATCATTGTTGGTTGACAGGTGAATCAAGATATCAAACCCATTCAGACAGATTTCTGATAGCAGCCAAGTGTTAACAATAATTTTTATGGGTAAATAAACTCCCAATGTGTAATTTTAAGTTCAGTTAATAAGGCCCTTGTCAACTTGAAAGTATTTCTTGTCATTTGAGATGGAACCTTTTTTAATTCATCAAGTAAATTTTATTGACACATTCTGTAGTTCATTCCTAAAAAAGATCATAAGATCTATCACCTCCGTACACTTTTAGATATACTCTGTTACATTTGAGATTCTATAGTGTGTTCAATTGATGCACAGTGTGATCAATGTAATCTTGACTCACTTGTTATCGAGACACGACACTTGTGAGCCAGTACCAAAATATTTCCTTGGAGTTTCATTTTAGCTCATAGAAAATTATCTTCTAGAATCTTGTTCAGATTTAGTATTATAAATATCAAAACCATGTTTGATAATTAATCTTAACTAGTGTTCGCCCAGTAGTCGAAATTCGACCATAGCCATTAAAAATTTGAGGAAAAGATATAATTAAATAAAAAATAAAGTAAATAAATAAAGAGTAAATCACGATTAAAAAATCCTCATTTATAAATACAAAATTTCAATTTCAATTAAAAATCAAGCTTAAGCCATTTAAAATTATTTATAAGTAATACAAAATATACTCATTAAAAAATATTTAATTTTCATTTTAATTTATGTGTGTTATGATCACTATAAATTAATGTTATGATTAAGCAAGTAAAAAATAAATTTAAATTAGCAATTTAAATTCACTTTAAATCCATTTTTATTCAGAACTTCTATGTAAATAATGTTATTTTCGAATGTTCTGTTATTGTTTAGTACATAGCCATGCCCATTGCCATTGAAAATATAAATTTCAATATTTTAAATGAACGTGCTCTAATTGCTGCCACATATAATTGTCCATGCGAAATTACTGGATATCACAATAATATACACATTTTCCAAAACTTTTATCCTGCGATTTGATTATGGTCATAGCAAATGCAGCTATTAATAGGAACGTTGTTCTTTGAAAGTCGAATGTAAGTATAGTGTCAGAAAATGTTAAATTAATTCTTGGAATTAAAATTCTTTAATTTAAAGTAGCCCCCGTGAGTACTTCAGTCTCATTCCTGTTCCATTAACTAATGCATCTGCAGTATTTAAGTTGACAATGAGTATAACTATAGAATATATTTTTAAATTTAATTGATTAGGTATCATTCCACTAACATTACATGATATCATCTCTTCAAATAATATACCCAATTACCTCAGTAAATGAAAAGTTTTCGATTTATCAAAAAACAAAATAAAAGAAATCAAATTTGGAAGGGAAAGAAAACGTACTAAATGTTTAAAATAATATATCTCTGCTACAAATAGTCCAATTTTGATGATTTTTTTTTTATTTTGTAGGGAATTCAGGAAGCTTTCAAATAAATATTGGTATTATCTGTAAAAAAATGTGTACTTTTTGAGTTATTCACAAATAAAATACTGAATTCATCATAAAAATGTATGCAGCTTGTTTTCAGGAAAGTATGTTATATACATAAATTATAAAGGTTTCAAGGGAAAGACTTTAGCAAGTTTCATTGAAATCGTTGAAGCCGTATTGGCGCTACATTCTAAAGCGAATCACGTTTTTCAGCCGCCATTTCGAAAGGAAAGGCCCGATGATAATGAAAGGTATACAAAAAAAAACTTCTAAGTATTATTGGGACGTTCTGTCAAAATTTAAAAGAAATCGGTGAAGAACTTTCGGAGATAAGCCGTTTTGAACAAACTACCATTTATATTTTTATTCGCATACTACTAAATATTTTAATTTATTGATAACACTAAAGCTCATCAATATCTATTAAACAAAAAAAAGAAGGAAGAAAATCGGTTGAATAATAGAGGAGTAAAAGGGGCTGAACCGATTTGTGTTTGCCTATTTATATAATGATTAAAACAAGTATTTTCTTGGGAAAAAATAACATTTATCTCAAAAACATAAGTATAATTATTTAGTTTTATTACATCAGGATATCATTCTATAACATATCTGTAGCTCTAATTGGGATCATTTCTGTTTGTTAACCTGGAGTTCTATTGAGACCTTGAGATATTTTTATTATTTTATATTGATATATTGAGGTATATTTTAAAAAGTTTTCTCAGCCTTTTGAGAATAAATAATTAGTTAAAATATGTTTAGCTTTTAAATTGTTATTCCGATATTAAGACATTTTGTTGAGCTGAACTCAATTTGCTTTTACATATTGAAAAGGTAGGGATTTATCTTCAAAAAGGTTTTGATATGATTATATTTTGTTTTAATTTCACTTATATATATGTAATATATAGTAAGGGAAAGTATTGCGATCGTGAAAATTTTCTGAGTTTTCAACAGAAATACACATTTAGAAGTTACCTGAGTCCAAATAACCAAGTTCCGCAAAATGGTCTGTGTGTGTGGGTGTGCATATGAACAGTCTAGCTCAAAAATGAAAAGTCGTACGAAAGTTATATTAAGTATTAAGATAGGTATATGATTGAGATGTTAAGCAACTTTTTCCTTCAAATCGGCTAACCTGAAGTGCCACTTTATATCAAGTCATACACATATTTACAATTTTCTCAAAAACCGCTCTAACGATTTTGATTAAACCCAGTGTATCATTGTTTAATTAAGTGTTCTTTAATATCATTTTGGTCTTATCCCCATTGATGTTACTTTACAGGGCTTAAATGTCCAATATCAACATTACTTCCTCTAAAGTACCTTTAATTTGGTTTATTATTATAAATTATTATAATAAAACTTACATTTTTTTATAATAGCCCAAAATTGCCAGAAAATAATTTCTATTCAAAGTAGACCGGTAAGTGAAAGTTATATGTTGTATTCACCAGATATTTTTTTTTTTTTTTGTTGTATTACATACCTAAGATAAACAATTTTAATAATTACCTGCATAACTTTAAATTCCTGTGTTGTTTTAGTACTTCACAGTTTTGTCAAAGGTAGTTAAAATCCATCACAAATATAAATAGTTCATGATTTTATAGAAAAGAATATAAAAATACCACTCTCTCATTCAAACCTGAAAAGCCAAAATAGTAGTTTTATTTTCTCAAATTTTACCTTAAAAACTGCTAAATCAGCCTTAGAAGTTTGACAGTATTGATTGGGAACCCACTAGTTCACCACAACATTATTTTTGGATTTAAAAAAAACTAATTAAAGTTTCCATTGAAAATATAAGCTGTTTTTAAGGAGATTGTGTCTTAAGTCATAAAACTGTTTCTATTACTTTTACAAATTAGTTTTTATTTTCAATAAATTTTAAACATTAATTGTTAAAATTTCCATCTCGGATTCTTCTGTAACCTTGTATCTGAAAATATATATATATATATTGTTTTGAGTAATTAAATTAGATGAATCCTAAGTATTATGGAATGTTCGTACCTGTCTTTCCAATATAACGCCCAAATGGTACAAAACTTTGCCAGTATGGCAAAAGTTATTGAAGCCAGCACTGGTAAATTATTAATTTCTGCCTTCTTTGTGTTTTCTATTCCTAGGTGTCATGTTAAAATTATTGAGTTGTGTTAATATGTTAAATTAGTTTCTTAAATTGAATTAGTCTAATTTATTTTATGTATAGAATTAAACTTCTAAATAAAATTTCTTAGGAGTATTGACCTATGTGGCTTTTGATTATTTGAGTACCTATGAGATAAGTTGTTGTTTTGTACTTATGTTGCCAGTGAAGTTAATAATTTTATGATATTTATATATAAAAACATTTGAGATACACGCCATAAAAATAACTAACTACAAGTACATTTTGTATTGGTGCTCTGAGTTTTGTATTACATCGTGTGAATCATTTTAAAAAATGTTATTCAAAGGAGATATAGTGTGTGGTACTAGTATTTGTTATTTCCTCATTATTTTTTACATTATTAAGACATTCTGTGACACCTTTAGTGAGCTGATGTTGATATTATTGGTTTTAAAATTATTATTCTTTTAGACAGATCTCAATTTCAATTTGCTGGTGATAAAACACTGCTGTGAGTAAACAGTAAACAATAATTTCCACAACAGCTTCTTAATTATATGTTAATGTCTTATCAAGTAACTACCTTGTTGATTGTGGAACAACTCTTGTTGACATAAGTATTATCATTTGACTAGTGCCCAAGGGAAAGTGCGTTCATTGCCCCAAGGCTCTCCTTGAATCTTAGGAAGAAGGCTAATGATAAATTATCTAATGTAATAAATATAAATTTACTTAGTTAAAATTTTATTCTATTGACAATTATCCATTGTTAATGATTCATGACCTGTTATCTACATCTCAATCTATCGTTTATGACAACCTTTAGAAAAAAAAGACATCTTATATAATAAAAAAAATTAAGAGGTTGATATCATTGATGTTGACTACCTGGCCTATTGTTTTAAGGATTTTATCTAAAAATCATCATGAGCAACCGAGGTCCCTCACTGAAAAACCATCTGGTTGAAAAATAGATCAAAAGGGGTTGAATTGTTTTATTGGTGCTTAACATGAAAAATTGATTAGAATTTTACAGTTGATTTAAACCAACTCTTTTAAAATATTTCGTGAGAAAACTTATCAAGTAAATACCTTCTAAAATTTATCTGTGCCTTGGAGATTATATATTATTTTAAATTAATTTATTTTGTGATAGAGTAAGTAAATGTTAGGTTTATTCTCAATTAGTGTGTTATAAAGTGATCTAATTATTATAGGTTGTTTACACATCTTGAAAACTCCTTAAAGTGATTTTTTATTATTTAATTCGTATTGGATATCAAGGATTGATTTTATATTTATTTGTCTTTGATAGATTTCAATCCATCTCCATCAAAAGTATAGATAGAAAGTAACTTCCATCTGGATATATGAATCATGGTTCTTTCAAGCCATGATCATTAAAAAAAACAAAAAATAATCAAACTTATTTATGTATCTAAAACTTGAAAATGAGGTATGGTAAAAAACAAAATAAAATAAAACAATTTGTTTTTTACCTATTGCTAAAAAATATTTAATATTATAAAGTATATAAAAAAACAAAAAAAAAATATATTATTACATCATATACTGATAGAAGTAATTTTTTTAGAAAGTTAGTGGTAAAGAAAGAAAGATTGGTGTCTCAGGAATAGGGATATTATTAAATAGTGATGTGAAAATGTATTAATGTTAAGTTGCCTGTTATTGTGTTATAAAGTATTATTAAACAATTTCTTGCATATATTCTCTGGAAGATAGCTCCATAATTTCTTTACTATCAGCTAATATTATTACTTGACATATCATATCATAATTACTTGAAAGCTTAGAGAATACTTACAGCTTTTTTTCCATTACTACTTTTAGTTTTTCCAATATAACTACTCAAATATTCCTAGGACTACTTAAAGATTTTTTAAGGACCCAAACCCAAGGATTCCTAGTGGCCCCAAAGGATTAAAAGTTTTTTAAACTTTTTGAATGCTCCGACTTTACAGACCTGAGAGCTTCAGACCATCTGTCTTACCTTTTCAATTTTTTATAAAAAAGAATTGGAAGAATTTTTTTCTATAACTTATTATAGTTTCCACAATTAGTAAGAATTTTAAGTTTAAAAAAGTAAATCATTATTGGGGTATTTGATATTATTAAAATTGTGGAGGCAATAATTTAATTTTCTATTAAACAGAAATACAGTTTTTAAATTATCCAATAATATTTCTTCCCATTAATTATTTTCATCATCAATAAAGACTTTACCCAATATTTTTACATTTTTCTTTTTTAAGTTTAATTTTAAAAAAATATCCATTGACAAATATATTTTAAGAGACATGTCGTCTAAAAGTAAAAGTATAAGTAAAAGATTCTCACATTTTGATCTATTGCTTAGATATATTCTTAAATTGATATAGTTCTCATATGGACCTGACATCACAAATAATTATTGATTTAAGATTGCTGATTCGCTAATTCTTGACAGGTGTTAATTAAAATGTTTAAGAAAAGAAAATGAACCTTACTTATTTTGTTTTTGTTCTTGTAGTAATCTCTTGGCATATAAGGATGCTGAAATGAAGAATTAAATTAGAAATTTCATGAATATTCGGTTCATAGTTCATTTGTGAAATAGCTTACAAATATAGGTATGTCTTCCCTTGATGGGTGGTCGATGATCCTCGGTAAAGATACCTGTAGTTTTCACACATTTGTTTTTGTTTTTTTCTTATTTCAAAATAAATATTGTAAGGATTTAACAAAACATACCCAAACATCAGGATATTTTTTTCCAATTTTTCTTTCAACCTAAAAGTATTTTAGAGTTAATTTTCTTTTTAGTCATAGAGTACAACTGTAAAATATATAAGTTAAAAAATATAATTAAAAAGATTATCTATGCTTAATGTATGTGAGTTTTGTATGATAATTTTTTTTAATGTGAGTAAATTGTATTAATAATCTCTGGGAATCTGGTGTATTTCTTTAAGTTAATATACATGAACCCAGGCTTACAGAAGAAATAAAACACAAACTTTTTAATGTGGCTTATTTGGAACAGCTCCTCTTACACATTATCAAATTAACTAATGATGGTCTGACAGCCGAATCATCATGAAAAAAATGAAATTCTTACAAAAACGTTTTGTTTTGTTTATTTTTAAGGTGGCTAACCACAACAATAATAAATATTTAACTGTAATCCAGTGAAAAATAAATTACTTGAGTGATTAGATTCATAATTATTGTGTTGGTGATTATTAATTTTTGTATATGGCTTAACAGCCACGAATGATTGCAAGGTAGCCATTAGCCAGGCCAAGAAACATTTGTGGGAGGATTTCGGTAAAAAACTGATTAGAGACCATCATGAATCCATAAGAACTTTTTGGCAAAAAATTAAATTTTTAAGAGAAAAAAAAACAAGGCTGTCAGAAACATAAAAGATAGCGATGGATCCCTGCTTACCAGCAAGGAAGAGGTCCTGGACAGATGGAAACAACATTTTCAGGAACAATTCTCTGAAAATCCTGAAATACGTCACTGCTAAGAACAAGAGCCCAAAATGTCTGAAATATGGTAGACATGAATTTCTTAAAGCCCTTCAAAAGCTCTTCCAGGAAGTACACGATAGAAAGAAAATTCCCAAGGATTGGGAATATAGCATAATCCTTCCAATTCATACAAAATTTCCAAGATGAAACTACAGCAACCACTGGTAGAATGGGAAGAAGAGCAGCTAAGGAAAGGTATGCGAATAAATGCCTCCAAGAGTAAAGTGATGATTATGGCGAGAGAAGAAGAGGAAGACGTCCAATTGGTTTGAAACGGAGAAATTTTTGAGGTAGTAAAGAATTACACCTACTTAGGTACCATAATCGTTACTAACCATAATAATTAATAACTAACTAACTCCCCGGCGCTACAGGCCAGCATGATCCTTGTCCTCCTGAATTATTTTTCTCCACTTCTCTCTGTCCTGTGCTACTCTCTTCCAATTGCTAACTCCTAGCTTCTTCGCATTTCTCTCAACTTCATCCCTCCATCTGCTTCTCGGTCTTAATAATTAATAATAACCATAATAATTACTAACTCTGGTAAGATAGATGCTGAGATTTGGTATTGAATATCTAAGGCGAATCAAGCATATCACCAGATCGCTATCAGTATCCTCAGCTGCTGTGAAGTAGATAAAAATACCAAGATGCACGTCTATAAGTCACTGTACCTACCTATTCTGTACCTACGACAGAGAAAGCTGGACTATGTTGGACAAACATTATAGTAGTCACATAACAGCAGCGGAAATGCAGTTCCTACGTAGATCAGTAAGAAAAACTAGGAGGGATCGCATTAGAAATAAAACTATCAGAGAACAGCTGAAAGTGCCTGAACTCGAAGACAAGACACCTTGGAGAACAGGCAATTAAGGTGGTTTGGACATGTCTGCCGCATGAACGAGGACATGGATCCTATAAAGATATTAGAGGCTCGACCCACAAGGAAGAGACCAGAGTCCCAGAGTTTCATATCAGGAGTTCATGCAGAGGATCGGAAGTAGAAGAGGCAAATCCTTTAACCAAATGAAGCGGTTAAGCAGAGACCGGGAAGTGTGGCTGCGCTGGATAGAGACTCCTCGACGCTAGAAATGGCATTGTGAGGAAGGCAAAGAAGAAAAAGTATATTGCTTAAACTTTTTTTTGTTTGATGCTATTATTTGTGAAAAAAAGTAGCAGGAATCTTGTAGTTAGCTAGTGCTGCTACCTGTTAGAGAGATTGCAAATTATTTCTACATATTCATGACAATATGACACAGAACTAAACTTAATTTGAAAGATATAGTTTTTAAAAATTGTTTAATTTCACACTGTCATCTACTAGCTAATTAAAATACCATTCTTAACATAAATAAAAGTGTTGAAGAAGGTGATTAACAATCATGCTAGATTTATTTATTTTTATAAATATTGTCTACTTTATCTCTTGATTAAAATTCCTTGATTTATTTATTACTGATAACTTACATTTTTTAGAAATGGATTCCAGGGAATAGTAAGCAAATTCAAACTTTCCTAGGACATAAAAAAAAAGAATTATTATTGTTTAAACTTTATTATTAATTTTATTTAACTAATCAATAAATCATAAGCAATTCTGTGAAAATTACCACTTCATTCAGAATTAGTTAATTAATACTTCTTTCTTATGGAACCTTTTTGGTAATCACATATCATTGAGTAAATATTCTATGTGTAAATCGGTTCTGTTACATGCATAAATATTTGTATAAAATGATTATTCTAATAGCATAATCTAATCAACATTTTACTGACAGCTGTTGGATCTTTATATATTAGATCTGAATAGTTCAGCATCATATGCTGCTTTTTATGTAGATTCTGTAGATCAAAAATGCAAAACCATATTTGGTCTCTATAAACAACTCTTAGATAGAAATATATTAATCTTTTATTATTAATGATTGAAATATATTAATCTTATATTATTGTATATATGAGGAGAGAATTCTCTTCATGGTTTATATGAAAATTTTAAGTAGTTATTGAATTTTAATTATATTTTATTTTAATAGTTGTCTGATGAATTTAATTACTTTTCTAAGTTTCTAAGTTTTTTCATTAAAAAGTATAAATGAAAAACATTTTTATTTTCAGATCTAAATTCCATTCACAAAATTTCTACTTTTATTAATGTAATGTGAGGATAATTTGAAAAGCAAAATGAAAATAGCATGAATTTTTGAAGGAATATAAAGGTGAGTTATTCAAAATATTTTCCTTTTAGTTTATTTACCAATTTAATAAGTATATATACAAATTTATTGATCAGTGTAATTATTTATAAAAATGATAAAGCCCAGAATAGATTTATAGAAATGATAAATGGACTGTATTCAGCACCATAGGTAGACAATAAAAGATTTAAGAGGAAAGTTCTCCACATGAAAACTGAAACTATTAAATTAGATTTGATTGACATATTGATTTCTTTATGACTATATATTATATAATGGTGTATAAATCCTTGTCATTTAATTTATATTGCCTTAATATGTTTGTAATAGAAGATAATGTTCCTATATATGCAGATGGTAAATTCTTTCCTCATGATGCATTCAAATGACAACTGACCATGTATAAAAGAGCTTATTATTTTATCATAGCAGAATATGAATGAGCTATTACCTGTTAGGACACAGAAACCTGAAAATAAAAAAAAATTTGCCGTTCACTGATGAACTTGTGTTGCAAGGTGTCAATGACCTGGAGCAATTTTAATATAAGAATGTCTTTCAAGAATAAATAATTGTATGATAAAAATACACATGGTAACCTCAAACTACATAGAGATATTTGAGGAGAAAGGAATATGACTCAATTCTGACAAGTTTTGTTATCTTAAAAAGTTTAAATTGGTAGAAATGTAATAAATGGTTTATTCAAAGTAGGCTCCATCACTAGTTACACATTTACCCCATCTTCTTTGGCAATTTTCCCTCCAAGAAACCCATACATCTTTTGGGTTGGTCCAATCATCAAGCCATTTTTTGGATTTGTTGAAATGTTTTATGGAGAGTATATGAGAAATTGATGTAAACAGGTGGTAAACAGAAGGGATCACGTCTGTTGAATACAGCTGGTGGGGCAAGAGCTCCAGAGTTCAGCCAAGTGTAGAAATGGCGTCTTTGGCCGCTTTTGTTGTGTGTCTATATGTGATGGAGCATTGTTATGATGCAAAAATACTTTTCCATGCCTTGTAGCCCATGTTGGTATATTGTTCGAATTGATCATTTTTTTATTATAACAAACACTATCAACTGTTTCATCTGGTTTCAGAAGCTCATGGTACACGACACCCTTCTGATTTCACCAAATTCACAGCATTGTTTTCTTTCCAATGCGATTAAGTCTTGATGTTGGTTAGGGATGGGGTCCTGGGTCAATTCATGATTTTCTGAGTTTTGGGTTATCGAACTATGTTCATTTTTTGTCTCATCATGATCTGATGCAAAAAAAGTCTTTCTTTAATGCCAATTGTCTTTCTATGGGTAGTAATTATTTCTTCTGTTACATCAGCCGTGGAACCACATATTCTCCTTACACCCAGCCTCTATAAAGTGGTTACTATTAATTAAATAATTAATTAAGAGAAAATACCTGAAAAATATATATTTAAACATACACATTCACTCACATCTGTCGCTTCTATTGTGAATAACTTAATAAAACAATATATAAATACAATTTTTTCATAATTCCATAATCCTGCCAAGAAAATATTTACCCATGGTAAATCTTCACCTTCAAAAATATCGTTGTATCGATGTTTGAGGTTTCTGTATTTATCCTCCTTAAAAAAAAAAAAAAATAAAAATAAAGATTATTGATTCTTATAGTGTATTTATTTTGTTTGAATAAATGAAATATTTGTGATATTATACAAGGTACATGTGTGGTCCATTGTAATTGGGACATTTTTCTTTTTCATTGACATCAGCCTGAAATTATAAAAGCAAATTAATAAATTAAATTAACATTTACATAGTTTATCGGTATAAAATAAATAATGGTTACTTGTTTGATTCTGTTCATGTATACTATAAAAAGTGATGGATGGTTGCCTGTGATGATAAAGTGAGATGATATTTTATCTGAGATCAATTACGGTCAATATATTTTTATAATAATAAATAAACCAATTGTTACCACGATTTCTTTTCTGTCCACCTTCAGAACTTTAGCAATTATTGTGTCTCTAATGAAATTAATGAAAAATAGACATGCTGCTTCTTGAAAATAGAAAAAAATGTGTATAAGTGTGTCATTACCATTAACATTTATTATTTAAAAATTGAAAAGATAACTGAAAAGTTATTAACTGGCCATTAAGCCTTTGAAAATTGATATTATAGCTCGTCCACAACTAGTAGGCGACCTAAGAGGTAATGCATGTGGCAATAAGTTGAAATTAACCAAACCAATATACATTAGAAGATTATGATATAATCTTTCAAGATATTTATCATAACATTAAGTTATTTAGTAAGTTATCGATGGGTTAAGGAAAAAATTAAATATTAGTTTCAAACTAGTACCTCACGAGTCCTCGGACTGCCAACTAATCCTGGTTCAGCTATAGATTTTACCAAATAATATTTTTATCAAAGTGATTAAACAAAGATCCAACCTAGAATACATTGGGTCTTTCTTACTTAAGTATCACCAGTTATAATTTTGTCACTTATTTAGAACTGTTGCAGATTAGTCAAATACTCATGATTTAATAAATTATTACAATTGTACTAACAAGCTTGTAACCTGAATCATAAATATATTGTTTTATTGAGCTTGTGAAATAAAAAAAAAAAAAATTTTTATTATATAACATTTTTTCATCACAAATGAAGTCTATCAAAAAGATGACGAAGAAACGAATATTACCCAGAAAAAGGAAATGTCCCCAAGAACATTATATTAAATTTTACATTTCCAAAAACGGTAAAGCCACATTGAGGTGTAACTTAAATATTTAAAAAGGTGTCAAGTTAATTACTTAAAATATTTTTTATTCTCAAAGTTAATCTATTTTTTGCTTAGCCATTGTTTGGTATTAATTTTCAATAAAACATTCTTTTATGATTATAGTTTCTAAATAATATCTGTTATTTTACTAAAAGTGAGTAAATGGGAGTTCGGTGGCTCAATTATATATAATATTAAGTAACGTCGAGTGTGGTTAGTACTTGGATGGGTGACCATCCACCAGGGAAAGCCATGGCGCCTGAGTCTCGCCCTCCCCCCTCGATTATGTCAGCCTACTGGAGGCAACTCACACCGACCGGACATAGGACTGATGATCCTACCCCGTGTACTTAAATCGGGAATCGGGATGTGGTTTACCCAGGATGTTAATAACCCCCCTGAGGTTTGGTCCATGGACGGTCTGTTTCGGGGAAAGAAATATAGGTCCTCGTGCGCCTGCTGACTCCGAGCAGCCATAATCCATGGATCTAGACCGATTTGTCACTGTCCTTGAACCCGAGTGAGTTGGTGGGAAGGACATTGCCAGATTGGCCCCAAAGGGATCGGCTATGGAGCTACAGGTAGGTGGCCTGCCGCTGCACCATGGAAACCATGGTTCGTAGCAACGTGAGGTTGGATGACCCCACCCCCTCCAAACTATCTGACCTCCAGCAAGCAGCATACGTCTGTAAGGAGACCACATCTCGCGGCCAAAGATCTTCATGGTCTGTAGTGCCAACCGAAAAAAAAAGAAATATATATATCTTTCAAATAATATAAAAGTGTTTGAATCTTAAAATAAATGTAAGTGCAATAATAAAATTTATAACTGCGCTATTTTCAATATGGAACTTGTTTAGGTAAGAAAATAATTTGTAAATACAAAAAAAAATATATAATGGTGTAAAGATGGTTGAGTGTGATATAATATGAGGAGTTGGTAGGGAGGTGTGGTCAAATAAATAGTAAATTGTTAAAATAAAAATACTATTATCTATTTTATAATGATTAAAATACTATTTTAATAATTAAGTATTTATTTGACTACACCCTCCCCTCCCCCTCTTCTTCGTAATTTGTAAAAGTTGTAAAAAAAAAAAAAAGAAGTTATACTTTTTTTTTAAATAATAAAACTAAGAATAAAAAATTTAAAAACCTACTGGCAATGTTTAGCAAAACATTCTTTGAAAGTGCAGAGTGTTGTAATAATATGCTACTCGTTTTTATTTATTACATAAGTATCTTTCGCAAATACTACTTTGATGTAATTTAAGAGCATCATCCCTAAATTCATGTGAATTAGAATACCTCTCTCTACTTTTATAGGAACTTAAATTTTTAAATAAATGTGTATTTATATATTTTTTTCATTTTGGATTTTTCAAAGGTTTTGTGTATTCTTAGTTTTTAAGAGTGATATTGTATTAGAAATATTACATTACCTCTAGGCATGGATGGTAGTTTGAAATTTTTATATTCAGGGACAAATATATTAAAGCTATTAGAAATTCCATTATATATTCCTTCAATGTTGCTAAGTTGTAAAATTACTTTGACTAAATTGTTATATTTAATAGTTGGGGTACATTTTTTTAAAGCTAGAAAACAGATTATTTGCAATTAGCAGTTTAATTGTAAGTCTACTTAATTATTATGAGCTATTGTTCATTTGAATGTTATTTATGTACATATGTTTTGTTATATTTTTATAAATATTTCATCTGTTATAAATTTGTTACTTTTTAGTTGAACCGTTGAACATGAAATGATTAATTATAATTTTTCCTCCAAATTATTTTTATTAAGGTTTATAAATAAATATATTAATAATATATATATTTTGATAATATATATATTTTTAGTTTTCTGTTGATTAAATAATAATGTAATTCCTAAAATGGATAAATAATTACATGAAGCAGTTTAATACTTTTTTTTATTTCTAATGACCTGAATAAATTTATCTTTAATATATTTTTTCTTTTTTTTAGGTCAACATTGAATAAAATGCCTTTCAATAATGCTATTGCTTTATTCCAGATGCATTTAATTATTGAAAGAGCTTTGGCCTCTCAAAGTTCTTCTCTATATTTGTGTAATTTAAATCTTAAAGATATACCCTTATCAATCACAAGATTAAATCACCTTCTTAGGTTGTATTTGAGCCACAATCGTATATCACATATTCCAAAAGAAATATGTATGTTGGATGAGCTCTATTCTCTTGCTCTGGATTATAATAAACTGCATTCCCTTCCTCCTTATTTGATTACTCTTCAGACATTGGTAAAATTGAATCTCAACCACAATTCCCTTAAAGTGATTCCACCAGAAGTTTTTCAACTGACCAATTTGGAGATTTTATGGTTGAATCATACTGAGCTATCAGAAATTCCTCATGAAATAAAAAATCTAACCAAGTTAGATACTTTTGGAGCAAGAGGGAATAACATTCAATCCCTTCCAGATGAATTTGGCTGCCTTGAAAATCTAAGGTTCGTAATTTTTATAAAAATTAAAAAAGTTTTATTTTTTCTTATTATGAAAAATATTTTATTACTTTTTTATAAAATGTTCATTTTAATAAAAACAATTTTATTCTAAAAAAATATTAATTATTTACTAATTTTAGATTAAAATATTAGTCTGTGGTACAGACCCCTTTTTATTGAATTATTAACATCCTCCTGAAACTTCGTAAATAGTTTCATCTCATCGTAACCTACAACTATTTTATTTACGAAAATTCTTGGAATTGGGAATTTTTCAATCTGGAGGGGGGCACACTTTGTCTGTTTAATTGGGTAATAAAAACTTGTAAATATTCATTTGTTTTCTACTTAGATCGTAATATAATTTGATCACAAAATGGAGACAAAGGAGGCCTTCAAAAATATTGAGCCATTTGGCGTAACCTACACCTCCAAATTTTCAAAATAATGAGGTTATATAGGACAATTTCTACAAAAATTTCTCGATTTTGTGATCAAATTATCTTACGATTCAAGTAGAAATGAAATGAGTATTTACGAGTTTTTTAGTACCTAATTAAATAGACAAAGTTTGCCCCCCTCCAGATTGAAAACGCCCCAATGCCAAGAGTTTTCGTAAATAAAATATTTGTAGGTTATGATGAGATTAAACTATTACTATCTAATATATTATATGGAGTGATGGGTTTTGATTAATGAGGTATCAATTAAAAGATAAATTTAATGTAGAAGTGATGAATCTCAATTTCAATCCTTAAATTCCTATTACATCATTAATAAAAGTTGTTGAAAAAACTCCGAAGTCGGAGAATCGGGATGGTATGAATCGGTATGGTACAAAACATGGTAAAAATGGAATAGTGTTCAAAAATAGTTCCTCTCATTTTTATCCCATCACTCCCTCATAGTTGATATTTATAATAAATCTCCTTCCTCATGCCTTCAATTATCACGAGGTGTTCCTCAGGGTTCCTCACTCTCTCTGATCCTTTTCTTCATTTATATTAGCGACCTTCCTGACTCCATTCATTACTTCTGTTATCTGGTATATGCAGATGATTTTCAAATTTACCTACCGTTCCAAACTTTTAAGTTGCCTGAGACTACCTGAAAACTGCAAGAGGATATTGACGTATTCACAGGTGGGCACAAAAAAAATAACCGAAGCTGTACGCAGATAAAGCTAAGGCTATCCTCATTTGTTCCAGGCACCTCATCATTTCTCTTCCTTTCTCTCCTCTACATTACCTCAATTACTGCCCCATTCATTTCTTCCCCTCAGTCAAAAACCTTGGAGTAATCTTTGATCAGAACCTGTTTTGGAATAACTACATTTCCCAGATCACCCACAAAATCCTTAAACAATTCATATGATTCCGTGATTCCATTCATAAAAAAAAACAGGCAGCTCCTTTTGGAACTCCTTTCTTATCTCTATATGTCAAACCACATTCATGTTCAAATACAAAAAAAAAAACTCCTATTCCACCACCTACTACACATTCAAACTTCCGCAAACTTGTGAGAATTTTTAGGTTTTGTAATAATAATTACTTACTAACAGTTAATTGATAAGAGCCATTTTATTTAGTATTTTCTTATTATTTTTTGTGTATATTTGTATTGTATCTACATGTCAGACTGATGTACACATATTTTTTTAACTATGTTGTTATTCTAAGGGGACTTTAGTCCCAGAAAAAAAATTATTTTTCATTTCATTACAAAAGATACATAATTCACTCCAAACATTGTCAGGGGATACTTATCACGTTTTGTTTAGATTTTAAAAAATTAGAATATTGTTGCTTTTTTTCCTCTACCTCACCTATTGGGATGTACGAGTTTTTTCTCAGGCCAGGGGAGAGGATGGAGTTAATGCCAGAGTAAAAAGCCCCCAGCAAAGGGACTCAAACTTGTATATTATATTATTATAGTCTTCAAAAGACTTAAAAACTATTGGAAATGTAAATGAAGGAGATCGACACAGAATATAGAGGCTACAAATACGATACGGGATGAACGAGAAGGGAGGTAGTTTGAGTTGCAGTCTAGCATCATATTTTTAGCACGTATATTCTGTGTTGACCTCTTTCATTTACATTTTCAGTAGTTTTTAAGTCTTTTGTAGACTATAATAATATAATATACAAGTTTCAGTCCCTATACTGGGGCTTTTACCTCTGGCATTAACTCCAGGATATACTGTGCTCCTTCTAGGTTATGATTGGATGTTATTTATATGATTCTTTGTTTATTTATTCTGACTGGATATTTTTCTTAAATCTTTTGTTTTCCAAGATTTATTAGATTATTCTTGTGTCCATTGTATTGTTTCATTTTCTTGACATTTTTGAGAAACAAAAAATTAAATTTGTGTTTGCAAATTCTTGATTGTTTCATGTGTTATTTTGTAATTATAGATGGTTGACTTTACAAGATAATAAGATTACTCACCTACCAGAGCACCTATATTTTACAAGCCTTGTACATCTCAACTTGTCCCTCAATTTGTTCACGGTGTTTCCAGAGGCTTTAACTAAATTTAAGGTATGATCTTTATTTGTATTTGCAATTTAACTAATAAGTAGATATTTTTTTCCAGGTTTACAAGAAAAACAATATTTATTTCTGATTGGGTCCTTGCATGAATTTTCAATTTTTATTCGTCAGTGAAACTTAGGTTATAATAATACAAACGCAAGTCTTGAATTTTTCTGATATATGCTTGCTAAGAAAATTAGGGTTAAAACATTGATGAAAAACAAGCTGCGTCACAAAAGTGGGGACTCAGCTGTGCCATTGTCTACCTCATACTGTTTGGTTTCTTGTACCTTTTAGCTTAGAGTATAGTCAATGGTACAATTCCATTTTTATCAAATTATTAACATCCATCTAAAACCTTATGAATGGCTTCATTTTATCTTAACCCACAACTATTTTATTTATGAAAATTCTCGACCATGGAGTGTTTTCAATCTGGTTATAGGTAAACCTTGTCTAAGTAATGAGGTACTAAAAAATCATGAATACAAATTTGCTTTACACTTGAATCATAAGGTATGATCACAAAATCGAGAAATAAGGTGGCCTTAAGAAATATTGGGCTGTTTGTCGTGACCTTCATTCCCAACTCGTCAAAATAATGAGCTTAAATAGGCCAAATGGTCCAATATTTTTATTGGCCATATTTTTTCTTGATTTTGTGATATAGTTATCTTTTGATTCAAGTGGAAAGCTAATGAGTAATCATAAGTTTTCAATGCTCCATTAAATTAATTAATTTAATGAGAAAACATTTCTGAGAATTTTCATAGATAAAAAGTTGTAGTTTATGACAAGATAATGCCATTCATGAACTTTTAGCAGGACGCTAATAATTTGATAAAAAGGGATCTGTACCATGGACTAATAGTATTCCCACCTTTAAAACTTCCTTCCAAGAAATATCTTTCAATTTTTTTCTCTCACCCTCTTATCTCTGAATAAAAGTATCTACTGCAATCTCAATCGTACAAAGTACTTTATATCTTGAATTTTATTGCTCAAATTTAAGGGTTTTTTTTTTCCATGCAGTTACCTAACTCCTTTTTTGGTTTTTCTTTGTACTTGATTTTTTGACATTATGCCTGAGTAACTGATCTTTTGTCAATATTTTCTGGCTAATAGATATATTACTGTTATGCCTTTAATGTTAACCATTATGTATTGCCTTTTGAAATTGAAATTATCATTTCAAAATTGTTATTCATTAGAAATTGTAGAGCTAGAGCATATCATCTAATAAAGAGGACAATAATGTGATTATTGTCCTCTAATCGTCCTTGTCATTTAATATTCAGGCTCTAAATTTTGATATTGAATTAATCAAGAATTTTGTGTGTTGACCTCAATTTTATTATTTTGAATAATATATTATTGTAAGAAGGCTTTCTTTGTGATCAGTTCTTTACTCCTAATGGGTCTAACCCTAAATACAAATTCACAGCTAGGACATCTTATATTTTGATATTTTCAAATTGAGACACTAAAGTACTTATTTATTTTTTTTTTGTTTTCATTGTTTAGGATATGCAGTTCTGCTTTTTTGCTGGGAACCATATAAAAAGTATTTCAGATGAAACACTCTCCGAGTTGAAACATTTAAAGTTACTAGATCTACATAAAAATCCATTGACTGAGGAATCAGATCTGAAAGTAAACAATTTTTATTATAATATTTTTAAATTTATTTTATACTTCATTTATTTATTCTTATTATTTTTTAAATAATTGTTTAAAACTTATAAATGGAATAACACACACAAATCTGTTTTTTTTATGGTTTTCATAAGAAAATAACTGAACTGATTTCAACAATTTTCCTTTGTTATCAACCCGACATCTGCTATTTTAAAATAAAATGGCTCAGTATCAAAAAACCTAGAAATTTAGTTAATTAATTAGTTAAATAATTCAATATTAAATCTAGAAAAAGGACTAAACCAATTTAGTTCAAAATTCATATTCTTGTTATTTAAAGCCTTAAAAATGTTTTTAGTAACAACTGTTATCCTCAATCTTAACCCTAGAACGACTCACTTAAAAAAGTCCACTCATTCTGACATTCTGGGGTGTGGTACACTCCAAACTTTAAGTTATCTTAAAATTTAATTGTCATGCTCTGGAAGATCAAATACTTTTCAGAAATAAGTTAAACAATCAGGAAAACAAAAAATTAATAAATTCAAGGTAACCTTAGAGAATATATTTTATATTCTAACATAAAGTAAAAAATTAACATTTACATTGCTAAAAAATCAAAAAAGGATCAATATTTTTTCTAATGAAATTACATCAAGTTCATTCCAATTAAATATATATATTTAGAATGTCAAATATATACATAATAAAGAGAAAATATATTTATTTACTTAAAAAGATAATAAAACCTATAGTGGGGGCCATTTATGTGAACACTCACTCAATCCAAGCAAACTATCTCCCTGTGTTCATTGCAGATAGGTCTCTTACATTGCTGACAAACCATTTTTGTCTTTATATCTTTCTCTATTGTGCAAAACAAATATTTGACTTGTTTTTCCAACAGTAGCCGTTTATTTTTTAATTCCCAATATTTATTTTATATTAAAACTCACTGTTTGTTTGAATATCTCCACTTGTAGTCTTATTTTCAAACAGGGCTCAAGTAACGAATAGCCTAATCCAAATAAATAAATTCTCCATTTCAGCTTCTTTCTCCAGTTAACTAAGCTGAACAATATTAAACACGTGGAGGAGCTGTCTTGTGGGTACCGTTGGTATCAAAATTATTAGCCTGTGCATATTAATAAATTACATCGTTGGCCTTATTTTAAATATATATATATATATATATATATATATATATATATATATATCATGCTGTTTATACCTGCATGGTTCAACATTCCAAAGAAAATCGGAGAGATAGCCTCCTATTTTTTCCTGGCTGTTAACACACATGACATATTTGATCAAAAGATGTTATTCCATCTTTATTTAATATGCTCCATACATCTTTTCTTCATCTTCTAACTCCCATAACAATTTATGGATTTCTTCAGGTCAAGAATACATTTTTTTGGTTGTTCGAAATCCACACCTGAATTATTCGAAGTTTCAAAATAACAAAGAAAATACTGGGGTACGAAATCCACAGAACAGTTGCATAGACAGCACACGTAACAACACACTGGGGTGTGGGATACCCCATAATGACTTTCGATAACTCCCAATAATGATATAAGCCCAACAATTAACTGATCCGTGGAGGAGCTGTCTTGTGGGTACCGTTGGTATCAAAATTATTAGCCTGTGCAAATTAATAAATTATATCGTTGCCCTTTTAAATATGTTAGTATTGTTGTTTTATTAGAAAACATTCGTTTTCTTCGCTCAAAGATATTGATTTTAGAATAGTTATTCAGTATTAATATTGAAAATGTTGTGGGGTGTGTCACATCCTAGTGTGTCGTTCCAAGGTTAAGATAAATTATTGGAGGATGTTTTAAAGTTTTTCTTATTAACAAATCTGATCAGCAGAGCTTATTTCAGTTGAAGAGTCTGTCATTAAATAGCTATGACCTTGTTTGGTTGCCACAGTTGGTAATTAGATTAGCAGTACAGTAATAATATAATGTAAGAGGGAGTCTGGCACACTTGTGCTTCTAACCTTCATTTCTATATTTTATGTAGAACTGAGCAGATATGGATCTTCCTCACATGGATCCTTTTCAAAGTATAACTTATTGTAGTTGTCATGAGATAAGGAACTTGTGAAAATGGATCAAACATGGGTTCATCACTGCTTGAATCAAAAATATCGTCAGCTGAGTGGACAGCAGCTGGTGAAAGTCGTCCTAAATGACCAAAAACTCAAAAGTTGGCTGGCGAGATTATGGCATCCATATTTTGGAACCCGCATGGAATTTCGTTCATCGACTATCTTGATAAAGTCAAAACTATCAACAGTGAATATTAAATATCTAAAAAAAAAAAATTGTTTTTCTTAATTAGACCGGATACTTATTAAATGATTTGTTATTTATTATCCAAGGTTTTCTTAATTTACTTGACCAGAAGTTTAAATCAGTATTTTCTCTTGAACATTTGAGGACATTTCATGTAATGTTTAATACTAAAGACATGTCAAGAAAGGAAGGGAGGGACCAGATAAGGTTGTAAAAATGATTTGTCCTCCTAAAGCACTTTGTTTACCATATGAAAAGCATTTTTATTTTCTGTTATTTAATGAATTAATCTGAGAAAGTATTTGAGTTGTTTCAATACAGATAATTACAAGTCAACTTTTTGTCTGAGGACAAATATTTAATTGTACTTTTAGTAAATTAAAATTATCTTTTTTATTTGATGAATGAATAAAAACTGTAATTCCACTACGTTATAGACATTTTCTATAGTATTTTTTTTTTTATTCAGGATTACCCCTTCATCACGACCTTGTGTAAAGGGGAATCAGAAGAAGATAGCAATGATGAGGATGATAGTGAGGACTGGGCAGAGTCAGTGGCATCGAGTGAACTGAACACAAGTGATGAAGAAGATATACTCGATGATCTTGAACTGGTCCGTGGAGGAGCTGTCTTGTGGGTACCGTTGGTATCAAAATTATTAGCTTGTGCATATTAATAAATTACATCGTTGGCCTTATTTTAAATATGTTAGTATTGTTGTTTTATTAGAAAACGTTCGTTTTCTTCGCTCAAAGATATTGATTTTAGAATAGTTATTCAGTATTCATTGAAGAATATATTTTGTAATATGATTGTTAATTTATTATTATAGTTAAATGAGTATATTTTAAATATATTTATTTCTTTTTAATCAGAATCTTTACTATCCGCAGTTGTCTTTCAATATCTGATTTTGGTTTATTTTCATTTTAATGGAGTACTTTCATGAATTTTTAATTTTTATTCATTGGTGAAGAATAGATCATTTAAAAAAATGCAAGTCCAAATTTTTTGAAGATAAATTGTTTCAAAGGAAAGTGGAGGGGACGGTCAATTGGGTTGAGTTTGATTCCTGCTTTATCCAAGAAATATCTTTCAATTTATCAATAAGTCCTAAAGAAGATATTTTTAATGCTGTATATGAAAATCTAAACAGTTTTTTTCTTCCATAAATTTATTTTATTAATTTATAGTTGATGTTTCGGGATTTATTTTATTCCATCTGCAGACTATTTTATTATCTTTGTATCATCTCAATTTATAATAAGACTTTTCATTTTTTATTTTTAAAAAATCCCTCAATTTCAGTGTGGACCCTTCTCTAGTGAGAGCCTAGTCAAGATTTTCATTTTTTTTTTCCACTCTTTATTTGAATATAAATGTGTATATTTATATATGTTTTATTAGTTCACAGTAGTAAATAAAATAAACTAGGCATAAAAAAATTAGAAAGAACACACTTCATGTTAATGTTTACTCCCACTACTACTCCAAACCTCCCTGACACACTGTTATTTCAAATTTTTAGCTGAATTTTGTACCTTTTTTTATTATTTCAATAACTAAGTCTCAATCGTTATTTTGTGAATTCAATTTTGGTTTAATATTTTCAAGTTTTTTTCATGCAAGAACTCCATTGAATTATGTTTAAAAAAAAAAATTATGTTACTTTTAAGTTCCTTTTAGCTCATGAGGCGTTATTGGAGTTTGTGTATTTGTTACCTTAAATGAATATTTTAGAAAAATTATATGACTTTTAGTTGTATATGTGTTTAATTTTAATAGCAGTATTACTGATTCTTGAATATTTTTATCAAATGAATTTTTCACATTTTATTTTTATGGAATTTGTTTGAAAATATTATCCTCTTTATTGTAAATCAAGAGTTATTCTCTTTATTGTAAATGAAGAGGAAAAGTTGTCATAAAGTATTAAAAAAAAAAAAATACACGGTTTGTTCACTGCATTTATTCTTCTAGATAATGATATTACACCAATTTTATAAGAATCAACAGTCAATAATTTCTCCACCTTCATCAATTTTAAATTAAGTTGTATAGGATTATATGTTTACTAATTTAGGATTATTATTATAATTATTTATTCTGTTACATTAGCCATGAATCGATCCTGTGGTGAAAAGACTCACCTTGGGCACAAACAGCCACTGTTGAGTGGGTATCCTTAACTGGGGCCAAGGAACATGGCAGTTGAGCATGATCATGACAGAATCACCTTATTGGCTGGCAATCCATGTGATAAGAGAGCTAACTTGGAGTTGGGGCGTTTTCAATCTGGAGGTCGGCAAACTTTGTCTATTTAAGTGGTTACTAAAAGCTCGTAAATACCCTATAGCCCGTATAGGCTATACAGTGTTTTTCCGGGCAAGGGATTGAGGGCGGAGATTTAAAAGGCTCCCTCAGCACCGGGACGCAAACTCGTGACTATTTTTATCTAGTAATCTCATGTTTTAGGTTGCCAGGCAACGGCGGTGCTGTGCACACACGTTAGCACATTCGGCCACCCCGTCCATACGTAAATACCCACTTGCTTTCTACTTGAATCGTAAGATAACTTGGGCACAAAGTCAAGAAAAAAGGTGTCCTTCAAAATATTGAATTGTTTGAAGTGACCTACACCCCCAAAATGATGAGGTTATATAGGCCATAGGTTATATTTGAAAAATATAATGACTATAAATATAACAAAGATAAAAGTAAACCATATATATTTCAAGTCAACAAGAGAAGTAACATTCATTACATTTTCATTCAAAATCTCTGTTACTGATTTAACCAATTGTTGGCAGATATGAAACCTAAACCCTAAATATATGCCTCGAAACTACTTATTTTGCAATTAGCCATTATGTTGATTAAACAATGTTAAGTGAAAATACGTTAACATTTTGTTGCGCATCATTTTTGTGACATAGCATATTTTGGAAGAAAAATTTATAGTCTCCAGCCAGCTCTTTTTTGTCTCAATATTACACATGGAATGATAGCTGGCATCACAAACAGATGCTCTTGAACCTTTTATAGTTATATTAAATGGATAGTGTTGTAAGAAAAGCAAGTAACATTCGTTACAACGTTTTCCCCCAAATTTTGAAGACAAACCAACTTTTCTACTTTACAATAAAAGTATTCGAGACAACTAAAAAAGGTATCTATAATTCGAAATACCATCATATAACAGTAACATTCCCGATAACTAAAAATTAATGGATACAGATTATATCGTATCAAAACATGAAGAATTTCGCATCCTCACTTTGGGAACAGTAACATTCATTACTTTTTTTTACAATCACATTGAGATATTTTTTCATCTTGAGGTAGATTTATTTTAATGTCACCATTCCATTCTTTAGAAACAATAAAAAAAATTAATACCATTACTTTTTTTCCAATCTGAAAAGGCATGAGAATAACAAATGTAAAGCTCAGGAATATATTAGAATGACCCATATTATAATTACATCTTTTACTCTATTATTAATATTTCAGATATGATTGATATAATAAATGAAGGAGATAGATGAAATTATTTTCCAAATAAAACATTTAATAACAACTTTCAGATAAATTCAATTCAATACAAACTGCCAACATTATCGGTTAGCTAAACATTATTTCAATGTTTCAATAACAAGTTAGATGTTTACATACATACTTATAATTTAATTGTATTCTGGTAAAACCAAATATATCAATTTAAAATATCTAAAATTTTTTAAAACAATATACAAATATTTGCTATTACATAATATCACAGTAATTGTTTGACATGGTTAGCGAATAGTCTTCCTTAATTTTCATTCTTTTTCTTTAATAGTTTCATGTTCATTATTTCTTTAAAAAATTAGAGAATTTCTATCATAATACAGACTAATTTTCTTTCTTCCTAGGCCTATAAGTTGGTAAGAAAGGTATGTATGATGCGAACTGGCATCTAAAAACATAACATATATAATGATAAAAAGTTAAATATGGTATGTACATTATTTTTATTGTAAATAAAAACATACCTTTTTAATAGAGACATGCCAATTGGAAAATCATAAGTACTTGATTCTACGGTCTCATCTTCATTGTGATCTAATTCCATTTCTTTTTTCCAGGCAATTAGGCCTCTTTCCTCAGGTGTTCCTGAAAGCGATAAATTTATCTGTCAAAGAGTGAAATTGATCCAGATTCTATTTTGTCTTCTAATAAATAAATTTTTGATGATCAGGAAAAACTCTTATTAAGGAATAGTTTGAAACAATATGTGGCAATTTCGGGGTCTGATTTAACCAGTAATGTACCTGCTAGATCCGCATCTTAAGTACTGAAGCATATTTTTAGAAACCATTCATCATACAGCTATTGCGAAAACATAGCCAAAACTAGTGACAGATTCTATGTAATTATAGAATGTATAGTGTGATTGTAAAGTGAAAAATCTGATATGGTGCAAGCATCAGATAACTTCTACTTACTCCACTTTGAGTTGAAATATGTATTTTCATAAACGGAGAAATGAAAGTAAAAATTATAGGCAGTGTAAAATATTCATTTAAAACAATCAATCACCATATTTATGCATTTTGTGTCACTGTCCATTTCCTTTCACAAATGTATGTTTTTATTTTAATTAGGGTAACTTTTTTTCAAAATGTTTCAGAACCGCTGGCCAATAATATAGAACATTTTATTATTGGGACATTTTTATTATTGTGGGTATTTTTATTTGTTTAAACATAGGTATATATAAATTAAAATTTTCTTATTGTTTTTTCATATAAGTTTCGGACGTCATTCATTTTCTTATATGCATTTGGCCATGTTCTCATGAATTATGTGAACGCTGCACATATAATACCAGAGCCCATGATCATATAATACCTTCTTGCCTATGATATGGCATAAGTTACATTCATGAACATTTGCAAGCTCTCAGCCACCCTCGAACACGCTGTTTGCCTTCGTTGGTTTTTTATTCCATCTGATTAATCCTTAATTCTCCTTTAGTTAATTTAAATTGTATTCAAACATTTTTTATTAATAGAGTTCTCAATGGAAATAAACGTATTAAGGTCTTCTCTTGAGTCCAAATAATCTAAAGTCTCACTAAATTCTGTGCGTGAGTATTTCTATTTCAATTATCGTGAAAACATTTTCGACTTATTCTGGATTTATTATTTTTTTTGGGGGGGTGATGATATTCTTTAGCCTTTTGAAAGTCACATTAAACTAGACATCTGATATTTTGTTTTAAACAGGTTATAATTTTTTCATTCTTTCCAAGTTATTAGATTCCAAGTAGACGAAATTGATTGAGATCAGATAACCCATTATATTTAAGTCATGTACATATGTGTGTATGGATTGTTTTTGTACTATTATTCATTTGTTAAGCATGTTTTTTTCGGTTTCGAATTTTTTCTCACAGAATATTTTTTTATTTTTTATGAAGGACTTTTCCACTACTATGGTTGTCCTTGACCTAAATATTCTTTAAGATATTTTTCCATCTTTCTCTATCCAAGGCTTGTTCTTCTATGATTCCATGACCCGCCAGGCTTCCTTCCACTGTGTCTTTCCATATTACACTTGGTCTTCCCTTTTTCCTTCTCCCTTCTACTTCCAGCTCCATACAAATCTTTGGCAATCTTTCAGGCGCCATTCTTTTCACATTCAATCAATCAGCATAACCTTTTCTTTTCAATATTTACTAAAATGTTTTTTTTTTTACTACCTCCATCATTTCCAGAATTCTTTCATTTTTGATCCTTTCTCTTCTGGATTTTCTTGCTCCTCTTCTCCAAAAGTCCATCTCTACTGCTAACAGTCTGTTTCGGTATCTTGCACTGATGACCAAAGTATCCGAGGCATATGTCATAATTGGCTCGAATATAGCCTTGTATATTAGCCTCTTTTTAGTAGGATGTTTATTCGAGCTCCAAAGGATACTGTTGAGTAGTGCTGTGACCTTTCTTCCTTCACCAATTCTTCTGTCGATATCATTGATGGATGTACCTTCTCTATTAAATATTGCTCCTAGGTATTTAAATTTCTCTGCAGATTTTATACCTCTTTCAATTGGCGTGTCATCAGATGAAGTGCCAAGGTGCTCTGTTTTCATGAAGTTAATAGTCAACCCCCACTTTTCATAACTCTCAAAAACCTTTCTGAACATATAATTAATGTCCTCTCTATCCTGGGCTATGATTACTTGTTCTTTTTGGAATGGAGTGCAGTTCTTATAGCAAAGTGAAAATGTAATGTGATTTTGGTGTAAAAACACGTCCAAGAATAGTTTATGGATCATTAGTAAATAGTTAACAAATAGAATATGTAATACTTTTTTACATTTAAAGGTAACAAAGTTACAAGTGAAACATTTTACTTAGTTAAATATAAAAATCAAATATGTATAATACCTGGTATGATATTGTCCAAGAGGCATCCTGAGACGCCACCTACCAATATACTGGTGCTTAACAAAACCGTTATTATACTGTCCGCGATTTCAGATCCAGTTTGTATTACATTAGGGTTGGCTTTCATCCACTGAGATAGTACCTGTTTTATCCATTAATTCAATTTAATCCAATTAAAAAATATTTCTATTTCTATGAATAGTTTGCTATACTTACCAATGAAAAAAACATAGAAAATCCAATAATGTATAAATTCCTGGATGAATTAAGCTGGACATATTGCAATGCAGATAAGCCTAAATATGAATGGGTTAATAAATATACATATTACATATTAATACCTAATACTTTACAAATTATTTATATTTTACCGAAGGCAGTTATCATCCCAAACATCACACAGAAGATACCACCTACTACCGGTTGTGGTATGATTATGAACACAGCTCCAAACTTGTTGATGACACCTTGGAGTAACATAAGAATACATGCGTATTGGATCACTCTGCGGCTACCAACCTGAAATAATATCATTGAATTAAGTTTTCTACATTTGTCTGTTGCATTCATTGAAAAAATTAAAAGTAACTAATTATATAAACTCTATTTGATTTGAAAATTCTTAATTAACTGCATTCACTGGTATTTCTCAGACATTGGCAATGGAAGCTAATACAACATTATTTAATAATCTTTATAGTAACTATCTCAAAAATAGGACAAAATCATTAGTAGGGATGCCTTCAGTTTTGAAGATTTTACTGCTTTTTAAGTTAAGTCAGTATGAAATAAGTAGTTTATAATAAACTTGAAGGTGTTAAATTGCATAATTTTTATTTGGAAAATAAAAAGTAATTTATTTTATTTTATTGATTTAGCATAAATAAATAACACATGTGAATGTATTGGTTATGAAATTAACTTTTGTATGCTTAAGTAGTAAAAATGTAAAAAAATAATAACAACCGAGCAGTAATCAGGCATGTAAGTTTTGTGCAGACACAAGACGATTAAAGCAAATAATACCCATTTCAACTCTTCACAACCTCTTCCATACTCTTGCACAAATAAGAATAATTACTGCTCAAGTGCTAGTTACATCGATCAAAATGAAGATACCTTTGTTAATTTATTCATACAGTTTTTAAAATCCCATTCATGACAAATGGCATTTCGATAGATATATTGATAGTTGGGAAGTATCAGATTACGGTTGAGGAATCAATTAAATATTGAAATCCTTTCAAATTGATAAGAAACTGTTAAATATGTATCTTTCATGCTTGTAGTAATTTTTAAAATGTACTAATTAACTACATAACGAATATATAAATCAATACTTTTCAGGAGCAGATAAAAATGATTGCATTATTTTATGTTTGCAAGAAACTTTGATAATTTAAATTTTTCTGTTGGTAAATGCTACACAAACAGGAAAAACAAAATTATTGAAGGTAATCCTAAAAATGAATCACACAAAAAAATGCTACTTTTTTTTAGCTCTTGAGAAGTGATTTTCATAAATATTAGATGATTGAAAAAACTGGCTAGTTTCAAAAATCAGTTTAAAAAAAATAACAATAAAAATATTTAATCAATAACATATGATTGTACATTTTTTGAAACTGTTAATCCAATGAAATTTTAATTAATTTTTAGACATTACTTAGGAACTCATGATCAAAACAGCCCTGCTAGGTGATGCTGTCCATTGACAACTTGTGAAAAATAAAATAAAACCATTGGAAACTAATCGCCTCATCTGTTTTTTTTTACAGGATTAAGATTTTTTCAATACTGAAATAACTAATTCATTTTACTTAAACATTTTCTTCTTATAAAATACATTAAAATCTTTGTTTTTTTTGGCTTATTAAAATTACCTTGGTAACACCTATGGCACCAACATTTTCCCCAAATGTGTTTGTGCCATTACCACTTCCCCAGAGGCCAGCTAGCATTGTTCCGAAGCCTTCAATACCAATGCCTCTATTAATTGCATGTATTGGTGGAGGAGGTGCACCTGTAGACACACACAATAATACAATTTTTCTATAAATTGCTCTCATGAAATTTATAGCTATAAATATCCAATGACTATTTTTTTTATCTTTAATTATGAATTACATTTTTTATCCCAACATTTTAATATCGAATATGAAGGTTAAAAATTTTATTTATAATTCTTGGAAGAACTTATTTAACACATTTATCAGTTAGTTATAAACCTACATATTGATCCACATATCTATGGTAGACAATGAAAAGTTCCTAAATCTATTTTGGTAAATATAACAAGATTTAGTTCCTATAGTTTTTACCAGATAGTGCAAGGTATTTATAGATTAGATATTTATAAGTACTTTAAAATTTCTCTAGGGAGCGGGATAGCTCAGTGAGTAAAGCATGCTGCTCCTATATTCCGGATCTCGGGTTCGAATCTATATGGTAGGTAATTATTTACTCTGTTACATCAGACACCTATGCATTCACACATGAACGATGCAACAACCCGCAAGCGAGTCTTAGGTCTCCTCTAGCAGCCTCTGCAGGTCTCAGACTGTCCTCTGCTGGAGCAGTCTATTCCTGGTGGTCATGAGGCTCCTCGCATTCACTTCGACACCATCCAGCCATCTTGTCCTTCGTTATACTCTCTCTGTTCGGAGTAACTCTTCCTTCATCACTTTCCTCAAAGTCTTTACACTTTCAAAAAAATCCCTACGAATTTGTCATTTCTAAGAATATTATAGAACTTCCTGTTCTTTCTTTTCCTCCAGAACTCTGCTTTTTTACTGCACCGAATATTCTCCTTAGCACCTGTCTCTCGAATATCAGAGTGACATCTGGAGGACACTTAACTTCTGTAAACTGGGTTCTCTAAATTAAATGTTCGATTAAGGAGAAAATCTAGCAGGTGAGCTTGTTTTTGGTTAAAATATCTCCTTACACAATTGTTGACTAAGAAACAGCTCTTTCAAAGTACTGAACACATGGACCCTTTGTTTATAGAACTCCAAGTCTGGACTTCAGTGGTTTAAATAGATTAATGGAGTTAAAAGATTTTTTCTGCTTGCCATTGATATATATTGTTAATTAATGGTGACTGGAGCAATGTCTGATTGGTAATATTGGTTAGTTTGAGATTATCGCCGCTACTTCAAGGGTCGTTGAAAAATGTTTGAGAATTAATCCTTAGGTTTTCTAAATAGTGAAACAAAACCAATATTATTCCAAAAATAAAAATAAAAATAGTAATTGTGAAATATTGGAGCGATACTGACCACACATTTTGGCGACGGTAGGGTAGTAGCTGATGGACTCCACAGTGCAGGCAAGGACTCCAGCTAGCATACCCAAAACTCCACTGGCGCTGACTGTCGGCAATCCCCATTGACCTATCAAATATATTAAAGGTTGGGCAAAATATGTGAAATTTTATTTAATTTTTTTATTTAATGAAAGTAATGGAGTATCAGGATATTGGAAGAATATCATGGTAAAGATGTTAAATAACAGGTACATTAAGAGTATTAATGAAAGCATAACATACCATTTTGTCTAGCACTGCCAGAAGAAGTTAAGAGACTGATGTGGGAGGTCTGACAGGAGGTGGGAGGCTGTTTGGGTTAATAGGATAAGTGAAAAGATACTAAGATGACTAAGGTAAAAGTGATTTATGGTGTTTTGTTGGAAAGGGGGCGGGGTGGCCGAATAGGCTAAAGCGTGTGCACTGCACCGGGAGTCGCCTGGCAACCAGGTATATGAAGATTTGAGAGACAAGAAAAGTACGAGTTCGCATTCCGGTGCCAGAGGGGATTTTAAATTCCCCGCCCCCACCCTCCGGCCCGGGAAAATCCCATATAGCCTAAACGGCGAGGTAGGGGAAAAAAAAAACTTGTTGGAAAAGTGCGGGTATTAATGAAAATAAGATAAGATCATTAAGGTAATGGTTCTTAGGGATAGTTGAGTATATAGGGTGGAGGCCCAAGCTAAATTGTAATAAATATGAGGTGGATAAAATTAAATGCCATCAAAAAAATACATTAAGGACTACAAAATCCACTCTCACAATACTCTCTTTTTTGACTTATTTAAAAAACATAACCTTGTGAGAGGAGATTTCAGTGTTAGAAAAATGTATGTGACAAGGGCTGATTAGCCCTTATGATTTTATTTTTATATTAAAGTAAAGTTTCTTCTCTTGACAATGGCTTAAGGATTGAAACATTGTAAAGAAATAAAAATTAAGTAGAACTGAGGATCAAACGTTATATATATAAATAAAATAAAGGTTTTGTCAGTACATCAACCCGTTTGATGATATCTTTCCGTTTCATACATTGCAGACACCAAATCCACTTTAAAACATTTTTTTTGTCTGTCTGTATGTCCGCATTGCAACGAAATATCTTTAAGGGTAAGCTAGGCAATATCTAATGGTAGGCTTTTGAAATGATGACATTATATTAAGATTTACTTGACTTAAAACATAGGCTTTAAATGAAAACAAAATATTGAGTAGAACCAAAGTTATGAATTCTTGATTAATTTGTCAAGAGATCTCGGTTAGGCAGTTACTTACTTCGATTCCCATCCCAACCTACTCTACCATGAGCCACATTTAAAAGTTGTACTACTCAACTGATGGAAAAAATTATCACATCTTAACCGGAAAAATCCGGAATACCGAACATCTGTGACGTGTTGTCTTATAAAACGGGCAAAACACACTCATTTTTCAACTTTGTCCAATCTTCGTGTTGATGGTGTCATTCGATTCAACATCCCGAGCCTACCAAATGTTGTCATATAAATTTTTAGGATTAAATAAACTGATTAGCCGAAATCAGGAAAAAACCTCATCCCATAATAAAAAATCCATCTCAAAAAAAGATTTTCAAATTTTAACTATACACGACGACTGGTACATCAGCTAGTAATATAAAAAATAAATAAAATAAAAAGTGATGATGAAAAATTACTTTTTAAGAAAATGGAAACTAGGAGTCATCAATAATAATACTGAGGGAGGGAGAGGGAAGATCAATGTAGCGGGAGGACAATAATTTATAGAATGGGAGAGGTGCATAGAATGCTATAAATAAAAAAGGAATAGCCCAGTCATCAGTGATTTAATGCTAAGTGATTGTGCAACATACATATTTAAAGCCGTGAAAGTCGTGATGGTCTAGCTTGTTAAAGCGTTAACTTTGACATTATCTGGTCTAGTGAGGTCGCTACAAATCCGTCCTAGGCGGGATGAAATTTATTTTATTGCGGATCCACTAACTGCTTCTCAACCTTTCTACTTTGGTTAGATCTACGAGGGGGGGCAGGGAGGGGAAGCTTTCTGGCTGAAGTCCCCTCCAAAATGGTCAAATATAACCGTGGTTAATGTAAAAAAATACCTAAAAGGTATTATTGTTCGTGCAAATGCATTTAGTAGGACTTCAAGAATCGCTTAAACACCATTTATACAGCTAGTTTTTTCTTCCAAAATATTTTTTTGGGTCTCCCCTTCCTTACATTTTATGCTACACGGTCCCCTCCCCCCCCCCGGGCGGGGTAATTTCGATGAGTTAAAAGTCCCATCGGGCAACGGGATTTGAACTCGTAATTTTTCTATCTGAAAATTCGGTTAACAGGTGCCGAGCATCGCGCGGTGCTGTGCTTATGCGCTAGCCCGTTATGCAATCCTGCTCTCCCTCTTCCAAAATAATTACAGTTTTATATATCAGGGATAAGTGGCCAAACTGCGAAAATGAACTAAGGACCTCAAAACAAGAAAAAAATTTCCTCTGAAGTTATGTTCACAAACTCTTTGTTTAGGAGATATTCACTCCTATAGATTTTCGTTGTTAGGAATTATTTACGTTATATGAAATAAATAAAATATATTTATTTGTTCTAACTGCTTTATTAATTAAATGTAAACATTAACATTCATATTAAATGTTGTTCAAACTGATTTCCTTGTTCAATCATATCCCATGTCCCAATCAATGGATTGGCCGTGCAGGACCAGTGGCTTGGCATGCACGCTCTTCAGAGCTGACTCAGTCTATACAAGTCCGGTCAATGACCTTAATTCCTTACGAGGAAGGATAATTGAATCTTATAAAACAATAACACATATCCAGTGCCGTTTTGCCACTGCTGCTGTTGAAGAAAGATGCCGAGCCTGTCTTAACGTTCAAGGAAATCACTTTGAACAACATTTAATATGAATGTTAATGTTTACATTTAATTAATAAAGTAGTTGGAACAAATAAATAGGTTTTGTTTATTTCATATAACGTAAATAATTCATATGAACGAAAATATTTAGGTGTGAATATTTCCTAAACAAAGCGTTTGCGGGCATACCTCCAGAGGAAATTTTTGGCTAGTGGTCAGAATATGTTTAGTTGTTCCTCCAGAACCATTCTCCTTTCCCCTCGTATGCCAGAAATAACGAGATAGGAGATAATCAAAAACAAAAGTTAAAAAGTCGTATACAAGAAACTTTCTATCCTTCATAAAATATTAGGGGACAGAAACTATTTTCTCCCTCAAGTTCCAGCGCATTTATCTTAAACAACCAAGATTAAGAAGGACATTTCTGAGATTTTGTTTTCTTGGTTGTGTATGGTGGCAATAAAAGTTTTTACGGTGAACAGTAGAATGGGCCCATAGAGTTACATGGAACGTTATTTCATGAGAATCTTTGTAAGTGGACTGACATAAATCTTTAAATGCAAATAGACTGAACTTATTGAAATCAACATATGTGTGCCTATAATGTTGGTTTTAGAAAATGCAATAGTGTAAAAAGAATATAAAAAAATCATTAACGATTATTTAATGTTCAATTGTATATGCCAAATTATATTTTTCTTCTATTTCCGATCTTTTATAGATGTTTAAAGGTCTCAATTTAATTATCATGTGGAAAAATGATTTCAAGGAAAACAACTTTTCCGGTATGAAGCAATATTAAATAGAACAAAAACTAAAACATCTACTTGCAGCGTGTTTTAATTGCTTATATAATGCCAGGATGCTATTAAAGTCTAATGAACATTAGTTTAAATTTTCAGGAAATCAGGAAGGATGAATTAAGCTATAACGAGGTTTGCGAATCTTGAGGCTTCTATACCAGATTTTTATTGCCTAGTTTATAAGGCAGAACTAACAAAGAATAACCCAAATTACAAACCACATACGGATCTTCGGAGCAGAGTGGCTTTCGAGCAGAAGTCCTCCCCTCCAAATGGATTTTTTTTTTTTCATTGGTCCATATTTGTCACTGTGAGTAATCTAAGCTAATTGTCTGTGGTACAGACTCTTTTTATCAAAATCCTTTTTAAATAGCTTTATCTCATTGTAAACTACAACTATTTTATTTACAACTCTTGGAATTGGAACTTTTTCAATTTGGTACTAAAATTGGTACTCTTATTTACCTATTTCCTTTCCCCTTGGATCGTTATATAATTTGATTACCAAATCGAGAAAAAAGGTGGCCTACAAAAATATTGAGCCGTTTGGCCTATACAAACTCGTTATTTTAACATTTTGGGGGTGTAGGTCACGCCAAACGGTTCAATATTTTGTTTCGATTTTGTGATAAAATTATCTTACTATCCAAGTAGAAAGAAAATGGATATATACGAGCTTTTAGTGCCTAATGAAGTCGACAAAGTTTACGGAATTCCAAATTTAAAACGTCCCAATTCCGAAAATTTTCGTAAATAAAACAATTGTAGGTTACGATGAGATGAAGTTGTTTACGAAGTTTCTGGCGGATGTTAATAATTTGACAAAAAGGGGTCTGTACCAGGGACTATAAATATTTAAACAATATGTTGTATTTTTTAAATTATAATACATATAAAACTACTTAATATAATCATGTCTTATAAAAAGATATTAAAAAATTGACTCTAAAAGTATTATTGTTCGTGTAAATTTTTAATGGAACTTCAAGAATCACTTAAACACCATTTGATATAGGTAGTTAGTTGTTTTCTTAAATAATTATCGTTGTATTTATTTAACGGCTGAGGCCCTCCCCCCAAAAAAAAAAATTAAATCCTGAATCCGCTACTGCTGTCACCCCTAAATATTGTAAATTCTGGTGTTGATTTGGATAGATTCTGAACCGGTAATAAAACATTGCCGAGAGTTGAGGGACATAGTTGTATGCTTCTGTCACTTTAATTGAATATTATTTTACAAAAAAAATTGTGATTTGTTATCATTTATAAATTAACCTAAGTCTTTGAAAAGCATATTTAGGCTACTTCAACTTGTTTTTTTCATGGGCGGGTCATTCTTATTTTATTTGATGTCTCCGGGCTTTACATTAGCTTTTCACATGTTTTTCCAGGTTGTAAAAGAAAAGTATTTTATTGTTTATAAGAAATGGGATGCTGACATTAAAATAAATCTGCTTTTATCGCAAGAAGATATATCTCAATGTGAATGTAAAAAAACGTAACGAATGTTACTGTCTCTGAAGGGAGAATGCGAAGTTCTTCATGCTTTGATGTAAAACAATCAGTATTGATTCATTTTTAATTATGGGGAATTTCACTGTTTGGTTACATCAATAACAGCGAATTTGTATGAAAACGTAACGAATGTTACTTTAATTCTTATAAATTTAATATTATTTATTTTAATTATTCCTACTACCAATTGACCATTTCAGTTTCTCTATTATAAACATTTTAGAGAACAGGAGAAGATTTTAGATGATTTTCGTAAAGACATTGATGAAAGAAACGAAATTCATCATTTTTTTTTCTCTCTTGTTGACTTGAAATATTTATGGTTCACTTTTATCTTTATTATATTCATTGCCATTATATCTTTCCAATATACTAATACATTATTTTATTCAAACTATGTGGATTATTTAATACTTATTGTTTTCTTATAAAATAGCTAGATTTTGTCAGTTGAGACAGTTGTAGCATCACTCTGTGGAAAATTCCATTTTTAAAATTTAAAAAAGAAAAATCATAATAAAAAAAACTGACAATCTAAGCTCAAAGTTATTATCTGGGATATGTATACATGTTTATATTTGAGATATTTTTTTCTGTATAAAGTTGATTTTTTTTTTAATCCGCATTGCTAGATCCTGCAATGCAAAGTGGCCAAACGATATTGGAATTGAAATATAAAATTAAACTGATTCCTTTCAATAATCACATAATTATAGTTCCTATTTCCCTTTTTTAAAAAAGTTTGATCGAATTTTTTTAATCTATATATTTACATCAATATTTTGAAGATTTATGGTTAGCTGCAAAAATGGCGATATTACTGGTGATATCGATATATATGGTAACATATTTGAACAGGTAGAGAAATTTAGGTATCTAGGTTCTACGATAACTAGAAAAAACGAAATTGAAGAAGAGATTAAGGTTAGACTGAAGGCGGGAAATGCTTGTTATTTTTCTGTGACAAAACTACTTAGTTCGCGCCTCTTGTCCCGGAACTTAAAAATTAGAATCTATAAAACAATTATCTTGCCTACAGTTCTTTATGGATGCGAAACTTGGCCGCTTACACGAAGGGATGAGCAGCGTCTTAAGGTTTTTGAAAATAAAGTATTGCATAGAATATTCGGACCGAAGAAGGATGAGTTAACCGAAGAGTTCAGACGGTTACACAACGCCGAATTGCGTGAGCTGTATCCGGGTAATATAATTGAGGTAATTTCATCGCGGCGAATCAAATGGGCTTGTAAAGTTGTTGGGCTTAGTAACGAGAGAATTCCTAAAAGGTTAATATTTGCTGTGCCGAATGGTAAACGTCCGAGGGGTAGACCGAAGCGAAGGTGAGAAGATTGCATTAAAGCCGATCTGAAGGGACTGGGTTTGGACGGCGAACGGTGGAGGGAGGTGTGTAACAAGCGATTGGTGGTGTCGGCATCGAACCTTCGGGTTCGCTAAGCCTATTATTATTATTATTATTATTATTTATTATTATATTGAAGATTAAAACCCAAAGACAGTGGAAATAAAAGTTTACTAATTCCTTATTGTAGATTGATGGTTGATTGTAGTGAATAATTGAAGAGTAGAATGGTTGAGATCATCAGTGAAAAAATTGTAAAAATAAATAATTATATTTATTTTTATAAATATAATTATTTATTTTTACTAATTTTTTTTTTACTGATCACCGCAACCATTCTTCTCTTCACTTTACTAATTCCCTATATTAGTTTATTCTTAAGAATAAAAACAAATTTTAAAAATGTAATTTAATTAATTAATTTTTAAAAATCTATGAAGATTGTAAGACATTTTTATTTATTAATTTTTTTTCGAAGCTCTTTCTTTATAATTCGTACTGAAATCAGGTAAGGATCTTTAAAAACGCTAATGAATCGGGTAGGGGTGATATATGGAATTCTAGACTCGGGTTGTATTTGACCTTCGTACTTCGTAATGTTTCGTAACAGGGAAGTGGTAGTCACTAGATTATAAATAGGAAAATTTATTCTTCAATTATACACAGGAGGACATCTTTTTATTGAATAGGAAAATTCATACTTGCCAATCTAATTAAGGTTAGGAAATTTTGATCTTATTTTGAAAGACATAACAAAAAACATACCAGGATATGGCACCCGAAACCAAGCCGACTGCTCGACAATACTAATTTTTACATCAGTCCTTCCGGGATGGCCGGGCGGAAGGACGTCGAAGAGAGTAAGAAGACCGCTCACTGCCCACATGATCACGATCGTCAGGAGGACCTGAAAGAGTATTCATTTACTTGTTAATAAAAATTATACAAAGATTAGATAATGATCATAAAATACCATCGACATCCGGACTTACTGGAAAAAGTTTAAAAAGATGAAACCACGTTATGTGAAGACCTTTACTTTTTGAGTAGTTGATCCCAGGTACTTTGACTTCGGTAAGTATTTGAGAGAACAGTGTGAGTAGTATGATCGTCCTGAAAAGTTTCTGCAATTAATATTTAAAAACTATTTTATCAAATATTAACAAAATCATGGAATAATGCCAATTGTTCAATTAATTAATAACATTAAAACAAAAAATATTTCTTAACAGATTTTTCATATCCTTAAATAATATATTTTGTGCAGATATCTGCTATGGTATTGTATAATTGTTTAAACTAGTAAATTTATCTTACTCTACTGCAACATGTAAACGAATATGCAAAGTATGTCCCAATCCTCCATCCCGTTGTTGACAGAATAAGAACAATAAAAAAAAGTAAATTAATAATATAAATTATAATTTAGTATATTTACAATATACTAAATTAATTTAATGCTTTATTTATAACTTAATATTTATTCTATTAACTTAGAATTGCATTTCCAGCTTCTAAATATCCATAAATGAAATGTCTTCCCCCTTTTTTTTTCATCCGCTCTCCTTTCGATAAAATATTTAGTTTAATATTTATTTCATTAGCTTTTATAAATACATGTTTATAAAATAGAGAGTGGGTAGAATAGGAGTTTTAATTTGATAAACTGCAGGATTATTACGCCCGTATAATAAAATCGAGAGAGGTTAGAGAGTGATTTGTTTGGCAGGCGTGCACGTCATGCTGCAGTGGACTCAGGCTACCTTCCAACACACACCATACCTCCCAAACGCACTGTTATTTCAAGTTTTTAGCCAAATATAAACATTTTTTTATTTAAACTGTGCAATCTCAATCTTATTTACATTCTTTGTCTCATGAATTGTATTGCTAATTTAAGCAGTTTAAAAGATATTTGAAGAGGTCAACCATTTTCAGTCTGTATCTCTCATTATTCAGTTGTGTGTCACCATTACTTGATGACATGAATTGTTTTTTTATGAGACAAGTATTTTTTTTTTTTTTGAAAATGAAAATAGATTTATATTATCCTGGGACTGTTGTCCCTTTAGGACAAATTATAGATACAGAGGAAATGCCTATGTGGTCATAAAATTAAATTAAATATTTACAATTCTCATTAAAATTAAAATATTGGAAGAAAATAAAACCACTAAATACATACAGATATGTATAATAGAAACATGTGAAAATAAAATAACATAAATTAAAAAAATCATTTCTGAGGGAACTTTAAAAGTTCTCTTATGCACTTTTCATGATCAATCGGGTTGGGAAAGAAGTAGGTGCTTAAAAAGGAGAGATTTAAATGAGGAAACTGACTGCGCATGTCGGATATCGGGAGGGATGGTATTTAGATATTAAATTATAAATAAAGCATTACATTATTATTTATAATTGTTTAATTACTTTTTTCGTATAATTTTTTTGTAATGTTGTATAAAATAGCTTACCCTGCAGCAATGCCCCAGTGAGTGGATGCTGCGTCCGCCGCGTTCTCGAACAACGTGAGCCCGACCAAGGAGACTGTAGGTACTATCGTCAATGGCGTCACGTATTTCAGGATGATTCCCATCACACCTGGAGCGCAGACATATAGTTAATAAATGGATTTCTCGGAGATATAGTGACGAGCATTTATTTTACAAGTGTAATAATTAAATAAATACACATTTTTAAAATTATTAATAAAACAAGTAATATTTCGGCTAAACTAATCTAGTCCTCAAAATTAGAAAACGTTACAAATGCCCTGTTTCAGGCATTTATGTTTCGAGGGTGAAGTTCAAAGGTTCACTATCAATCAAGAAAGAAGGCTGTCCCTGAGAGAAAAGTCGTTTGTGGTTTGGAGCAAATATAAGTGGTAGAGAAAAGGTGTGTCCCGTTTTAAGTAAAACCAATGGGCTAACAAGGTTATGTGTGACACAAATCTTAGGGGTTCAGATTGGACGAATACTTCAAAACTAAACGTCAACAATTCTCCTCTTCGTGGAACCCAAGAGACCGAAGGCCAGGCGAATGCCACAAATGTAGCCGAGGATTCAGAAACCCCAGCTCGAGTATCCGAACAATATATTCCTTGTAATCAGCCGAAAAAATAATATTAAGTATAAAATAGCCGAATTCCCAGAGAAAAAAATGATATAGTTGCTTCCTCGAAGTTTATTGCCTCGATAAGGAAGGCGCAGCAAGATTCGTGGGTTTCTTAGCCTTTAGTGCAAAAGGGAAGGAGGCTCTTATGGTGGGTCTAACAATAAAATTTGAAACGAACGATGAAAATCAAGATTCAAATAGAGAAAGAAAAAAAATAATAAGAAATACATTTCATTCCTACAGGAAAATATATAAAGGAATTAGAAGGAAAAGACAGAAAGAGTTTTTGTAAGCAGGAAAGCGATAACTGTTTCAACTGGTATTTTTTGAAAAAGCTGTGTGTTGAAAGGACTCGCTGGGAATCCTTCATAACCATCAGATATTCGGCGCCCCAGTGCAATGTCACCATCTCCCGCCTCTAAAAAAATTAAATTTTATTCTTAAGCTATTTTAAATTATGTAAAATTTGAATTTTATTTCATTCAACATTTCTCTAATACAGCTGCTTTATTGATAGGCTAAAATTAATTACTTTAATACGTTTTCTATTTTTTATTAATTTCTAACAGTTAGCAAACGTCCCTGAAGATCGTCCGGCGCCTTCAACGGACATCTCTCCATGTTGGAGCCCCTGAATGATTCTCCCGATTGCCGCGCCCTAAAGCCGGCACTGATAACCATTTATATTAATTCTGGCCATTGCACTATAGAGAAGATAAAAAAAATCATAACATTTCGTACTTAAAATGATACTCCCGTGAAACATAACTTTTTGTGTTGATTTTCTGTATATTATAGATTAGAATGTTTAGTATGCCATGTTATTTATGAACTCAACACAGTTGAGTAGCCTTATATTTTTACTGTAAATCTCTTTCGTTAAAATAACCTTGATATGAATATATCGGTAAAATGAATTTTTTTCTTTTTTTTCATTATTGAAATTTACAACTGTATAACGATAAATGCAACTAGTAAATATGAAATAAGTAACTTGACATGTACAACATGAAGAGAAACTACCCATTGGTAGCACTCAAATTATATTTCTATGTTAGAAGGTCTCGAGGCCATCTTCTTTTCAAGAGAAGCTCCTCCTTCCTGGCGCTTCGGAGGGTTATCAGGAACAGAAGAGGAAGCAAGGTTGGAAACAAGAGGGTTCGGATGGTTCAGAAGTTTATTATGGAAGGATAGGAATCTGGATTGAGCTAAATCGGAAACATATGGTACTTTAAGGTCGTTATGAATGATTTTATTTGTGACAAAGTAGGGAGCATTGAGGATTTTACGAAGGATTTTGGATTGTAAGGATTTGATAGGAGAGGAATTGGATGGTTTAGTAGAGCCCCAGAGCTCGATCCCGTAAGTCCAAACAGGCCTTATTATAGTAATGTATATGAGTCTTTTGTAAATAGTTGGAAGTTTAGAGCGTTTGTCTAGTAAGTGCTGCAGTAGTCGAAAACGTCGGGCGGTTTCTAGTCGTTTCAGTCTGGTATGGAGGTTTTTGTTTTCTAAAAATTAAATATCGCTTTTGTGTTGTATATACCTATTTTTTAGCCCCGAAGTCGGCCTGTATAGTTACTTATCATTATCTTACCACAGTTACCACTCGTTTTCCAGCAGAAATATCTATTTTCAATTAATGAAAAGTGAAATTAAAAATTACAGACGTTATAAAATATTTAAAACAATTAATTACCATTGTTTATAACAGCCGTCTAATGGTCTAACCAACCATTTCTTTTTACAACTGTATATTTTAATTATTTATTCGATTATAATCATTATTAAGTGCCAGAAAATATTTTTATTCCAACAAGAGTACCACTGATAAAGAAGGCTTTTATATTTATTCGTATTTCATTGTAGCTATTATTATTTGTTAGTATTGGTAAATATACATATTATAATTTTTATATTGTTGTAATTTATACAATAAAGTATCAAATAATGCCAATCCTAGCATTAATGAAAAGCGCATTTGTATATTTAATATTAATGTTACCGGAGCCCATATTTAATTAAGCACGTGTATGTATGGAAAACTTTCAGCCAAGGTTGGGTTTCTTCGGTTCCGTATTATGAACCCTTATTATTCTTATTATTATAACTTTTTAATTTCTTTAGCTAATGATAAAATTCTTTCGTATTTTGTATTTAACCACGTTTCATAGTAGATTACAATGTCTAATGGTTAATTATTTCGAGTAAATAAAAATATAGCTACTTTAGAGGAAGAAAATTATGCATTTAAGGCCTGTTAGAGAACATCAATGAGAATAAGACATACATTATATTAATAATCGCTTAATTTTACACCGATATAATGAATTTAATCAAAATCGTTAGAAACATTTTCGAGAAAATTTAAAAATGTGTAAAATCGATCGTATAAAGTGGCATTCCCACCTAGCCAATTTTGACGGAAAAGTTGCTGTAACACCTCAGGCAAACACTTATCTTAAATACGTAATATCAGTTTCGTGTAATTTTTCATTTTTAGCTAGGCTGGTAAATTAAGTAAAAATGATAACCATCTTGAAACTCACATACGAAAAATGGCGTCTTTCTTTATACAAGTACTCAAAAATTCAATATAAAGAAAGAAATATAGAAAGAACCTTTTTGATATTTTTAATAATTTAAAACATATACAGGTATGACTTTTAAAAATTAAGACTCTTCTGTGGATATTTCTTGAGCGGGTTCAACAATTGATTGGTATACATTCAGGGGTAGCCGTGTTTTATTGCTCAACTATTAAACTAGAGGCATATCTTGCAGTGGGACAAGGAAATTGTTTATTATACTTCTCAACAGAATTTAAAGGGCTACAAAAAGTAAATTATGGGTGATAAATAGTCACGACGCCGTCATTTTAAAGGTTTTTATTAGTTGCGACGTTTCAGCCCAAACATGTGAATCTTCATCAGGACTGAAAATTGTTTAATACAATTAGTAAGAGTAAATATTTCATTATTTATAAATTGTTTATGCACATTGTGTCTTTTCATGTATCATCCATAATTTTTTCACCTATCATATTTTTTTTTCATTATTAATCATTATCTGCCTTATAATATTACATCTCTGATTGTATTAAACAATTCTTAGTCCTGATGATGAAATAAATATTTGGGTTGAAACGTCGCTGCCAATAAAAACCTTTAAAATGACTATATATCATCCACGATATGTAGAACAGTCGACTTACTTCCTTTAATGAAAAGTAAATTATGTTAACAGCCTTGGAACTTTTATTATTTCAACTGTGAGCATTGTTTCTTGCACTACCAAACCAACAAGTTTTTTTATTTTATGTTTTCTATTTCATAATTAATCCTAAAAAAAAGTATATATATTCGTTCAAAGTCAAAATGATACATCAGGATATTGATAAAAATTATTGAATAAATAAATAGTTCAATTTATATTACATTAAAAACAATAATTTATTGTAATCAATAAACATCATAGTAAAGTATTCTTTCGTTATGTTATGTTTTATGTTCTTTTCTTATATTATGTTTCTTGGTGTGAGGATGTATGGCGGCTTCTGGTGTAGGAAATCTTCACTTTATAGTGGAAATATTCACATGATATAGTGAATAAACATGTTTACATAGACAGTTCGAGATAGAGCCGACTGGACTAACGCATGTGCACAGCATGCTCGGCAAGATACAGACAAAATAATTACGAGTTCGTGTCTTGGTACTGGATGGAGGGTGTTTTAACTCAGGCATTAATGCCCCGCCCTCACCCCCTGGCCCGGAATAAAACCCGTATAGCTTTAAAAGACGAGGAAGAGGAGGGGAAAAAAAAGAATGAAAAGGAACTTGAAAGAAATTGTGGAAAATTTGGGCCATGTTCGTGAAGGAATGGCTACTTTATAACTGCCCCAATGTTATAGAAATACCACCACAGCAACCAGATTCTTAATTTGATAAAAACCTGTTGGAAAAATTGGAGGTAGAAATTAGATAACACGAAATTTCTAGAAAAGAAGACTTAAAAAAAATATATTTCCTCAAAGAATGGAACACGCTAAGCCCGGAATCACTAGAAACGGTCGGCTCCATTTCAGACTGAAAGGAGTGGTAGAAAAATATGGCTACAAGATGTTGAACTAAATTAATGATATGTAAAAATTAATAAGAAGTGAGGAGTATTATTTTGACTATGAGGTAAAATTATCCAGTTTTTTAAATTCATTTTTTTAAATAATCAAATAAAATATTTTGATTTTATCGAAATTGTATATTTTTAAAATGAGATTATAAATAAATCTGTTGAAGAGGTTCTGGTTTTATTTATTTATTGAAACCATTAAAGTCTTTTTTTTTTACAGTGTGTATCTATTTCACAGTGAGTCACTGTATATATTTCTGACCCGATTGCAAGAGGCTGGAAAATAAAAAGAATAATCTATTGTTAATGTTGAGGTATTAAGGGGTTTGGTGATTGAAACCCAACACTCTTGTATGACAGAAAAAAAAAAGTAATGGGCTGATTTATCATTTTCAAATACCACAGCCCAATTATAGTAATAGCTGTTGAAGGTAATAAAATCTCTCTGACAGATATGTTGTTTTAATGTAACCTTCACAAAGTCTTTCCTCCGTATTGTTTTTCTTGAATCTAAAGTTACTTAATGACGTATTATGAAGTCAATTTCATGGTGCATGGATTTAGATGAGTAACGAGGGGTTCTATCAAGCGAATCTTTTTTATCATTATCTAGAATATTAAAAATTATATAACTAATGTTTTCTACACATTTAAAAATAATTGTCATCTGCTAGTTTGAAGGCCAAGAATAAAGTTTTTTTTAAAACTTATTAATTCAAACCAATTAAAACAAAAAGAATTACAACCTGGGAATATGATGCACTAAAAAAATCCATCGATTCATTATCGACGATGACTTAGTAAAAACTGATCTGAAGCAAGTTTTCCAGTTTTGTTTGTTTTGGTAAATAGACAAAATTAATAGATTTTCGAAGTTTAGGTTGACTTGTAGCCGAGAAATCTACAGAATACACTATTTTTTACTGTTGGTGCGAGTCGGATCATAGATTATTTAGTTAAGCTCAAAATATTTCTTAAGTAAAATATATGTAATTGCATATCTTAAACACCTTAGTAAATTTTTGGGAAATTGCATCTACTAATATTTAAACTTGGTTTAATAGGAAAGTGCCTTTCAACACATTACGGCTCCTAGGAAGTAGCTTCCGTTTCCTGTGGCATGTCAACGTCCGAAATCTTGACTTTTGTTCGAAGAGTGGAAGGCATCCCATTACTACATCAGAATTAAATATTCATAGATTCCAATTACCCTATTACTAATTACCAAGTTTTTTAAGTAGATATGCAAATAAATTTCCTTGGGATTTCTCTATTTCTGTAATCGGTGTTTTTTTTAACTGTGTATTTTTTTTCATGATTATAAATTTATGCAGATATTATTTTTTTTAACTAAAGGGAGTACTTCATGTATAGTGTTGCCAAAATGCGAGACCGGGACGAGTCTTGGTCTTGCAAACTCAGTCTTGGTCATGGTCTTGGTCTTGCGCGAGATTCTCGCAGTTACTTAGTAGCTTATTACTATAGAGATATTACTGTAATTTTTTAGATAGGGAAAATCTAACTTAGCCCGAATGAAAAATTAGAGAAGTTAAATGCCAAAGTATATTGGTTATACCAATTAATAACATATAGTAACTAAGATTTTCAAGTATTAGTAACTATTTTGCCTTAATTTTTATTTGAAAAATCGTTTTTTTTTTTACCAGTCCTGGTCTTGGTCTTACAACAGTTAGGCGGCCTTGGTCTTGGTCTTGCAAAGAGCAAAACCAAGACCGATTTTGGGCAACACTACTCATGTCCTTCTAAAGGCGGACTAGCCCCCATTTTACAAATTCTACAACTGTTCATTTTATTGTACTACTCGTTGCTCAAATTGTATAACTATAATTTACATGTATTATGCAGTTCAGATTATATTATTTTTTATAAACATAATATAAATTGAACGAAACCACAGTTCAGATAAATTTTTAATTTATTTAAAAATCTATATTACACATCCAGCCTTATTGCCTATTTATATTATTATATAATTATAATTATTCTTATTTCCAATCTGTAACCATAATATATAATATTTATTGAATTTGTCCAGCTTCATATAAGCCCAACATCAATTTTTGCCTTTTATTTCTAATATTTTCCTTGTACGTTATACTGTGCTTCCTTTTCTATTTCATAATAATTATAATTATATCACAATATAATATAAATAATATTATTTATACTATAATAATTAATATATTGTAGTCAAGGAGAAAATATCTCTAGATCGAAAAATAACTGCTGTCACCTCTAGGTAAAACAAACTACCACCTCCAGATTAATATCATTTCCGTACATATTTTTGTTCTAAAATCTTTATTTTGTTTTAGAAGAGTATGAGATTACAGGAGCTCAATACCGTAACAAAGACACCAGGGTATAAATCTCTATTTTGTATTAGGAGAATTTGAGGTTACAAGAGCTCAAAACATATGTCATTAAATGCACAGCTGTATAATTAGTGCTAATTATAGAGCTAATAGGAGAGCCCCTGTAATCTCCTACTCTCCTAAAACTAAATTAAAATAAAATAAAATATGAAAGTCACTATTTTTTTTAAATCAAGTCAGAACGTATTTAAGTTATTGCATTCCTTACCGCAAAATCCCATAAGGACTTGGACTAGCGCGGATACTGCAATCGCTCCTGAGAGCTCCCTCATCCTGATCTGCCAAAGCTCCGTCCTGTTTTCGGGAGACATAGCGTTGATCGTCTCTTCGTCAGGACACCTCCACTTCGGCAGGCTTAAGATGGCCAAGGTAGGCACTAGGAAGGAGATAGTACCTCCTTGAACGATGGGCAATCTAAAGACACATGGTTTGTCCTTAAAATTTTAAATGTAATGTAGTATTTTGTTTTCTATTTACAATGCTTGGGGAAAACGGAGTGGAGATGATGCAACAGATGGGATGAGTATTGGAGCGATAGGAATTCCAGAGTGATAAGGATCGGATAAGTTGTTGAGAATATTTGTTTATTAATTTATTTTCAATTTAACTTTGCAAAAATATTTATTTATACTTTGGACATTAATATATAATAGGAGAATTCCAAGCAGAATAAAGATGTAAAAAATTTAGGATTGGAGTATCCAGTTGATGTCATTTTGGTCTGAGATTTGTTTTAATAGGGTGTATAAAAAAATGACCGTTTTTAACTACATATTTGTATTATTATTTCTTTGATATAAAATACAATTAAGTCTCAAAGTATAACCCATTGTTATCTACCGTCATAAGCCATCTACTAGCCAATTGCTCGATCCCACGCTTATACCATTCTTTGGGATGGTTGTCAAAGAACTCTTGGATTGCAATTTCAACTTCCAAAAAATTATCAAACTTTTTCTCTTGAAGAAAATGGGCAATGGATCTAAATAACTAGTAACCCGATGGTGCGAAGTCTGGACTATATGATGGATGAGGTAGGAGTCTCATATTAGAAGGGTTTTACAATAAATTTTCACATATTTCTAATCTCTTAGCTGATTGCTGAGGAGTAAGTTCGTGAGGGATCAGTCTACTTTTTTTTTCAGCTTCCCCTGGAGAGTAGATGGCGACTAAGAGAATCTTTCGACACAACACACTCCCTGGCAAGTCCGCAAGTACTCGTGGACGGACTGGACTCAACAGCTTTCTGCAGAACCTCATCAATATCCATTAAGCCCTTATTCCTTTCCAACGTTGTATATCCACTGCTAAACTTTTCAAATTAACGCCGCGCAGTGCGCTGGTAATGGACATCTTTCCCTTATACAATATCTTTACGACTTGCTTCAGCGGCTGAGAATTTTTTTTTCCAGTGATGCATTAAAATTACGAGAATTTCGTAGGTCATTGTCATGTTTTTTCTTTGAAACAAATATCTAAATTGAGTTTTTTTTTAAGAAGTCGAATGAGATTAAACAAGTTTAGAGAATGATCTAAAGGGATTATTGAGTATTGGTAAGTATTAAATAGGATTTAAATATTTACATTACTTTGAAATCTTAAATTCTATAAAACGGTCATTTTTTTTTATACACGCTATTATTTGGCCGGGTTGTAAGTGATGATATCAGATTTGGTGAAATGTTTACGATTAGTTGTCTATCGATATTAGTATATTTTAGTGATCAAAGTGATTATCGTATTTCGAAGATGACAATTACACTCTGATGATTAATTATTGCATTGTATCTTAGTATAAACACAATGATCATTTTAAATTATTATTTTATTTTTCTGATAATGCATGGATCGTCATATAAATGATGAAGGAAATGATTATCTATGTCATAAATTGATTATTTTAGATCTTCATTATGGATATTGGTTTTGAAAAGGCCACTGCTTAAAAAAAAAAAATATATATTAATAAAAATGGCTTATTAGTTTCGAACAATTTTGTCTCAGAGAAGGCTGTTGGTTGTTTCTTTTAATTACTTTTATAGGCTTCAAGCCACTAGAGATAATATTTTTTATTTACCTGCAACCAAATGTTGTCTGTATGTAGGTGACGATGCCGGTTACGAATATCATCGTAGATATGATACTTCCTCTATCCAGGTCATCCTCTTTCATACAAAGTGCAGGTGTCAATATGAATGGTATAGACACAATTGCTCCTATCATTGTCAGGTAGTGCTAAAGTGATAATTTATTTTTAATTAAGTAATTAAAAATACGCAATATAAGAAATAAATATTTAGGCATCCCCTGTAAAAGTTGACCAAGTTCACATATTCACCAGATTTCGGATTTTTATGCAATTTTATTATTCGTTCAAATGCTTTTCAAATCCTGTGCATGGAAACGAATGTCTAGTTTCCTTGCGGGTTTGAGAGTTTCCCAAACGTTGTTAATCGTTGCTGCACAGGAAAAGACATTGAAATTCTTTACTGGTATTTTTATAGTTTCTTTTGTTTGTTTTGTTTTCTTCGTTATAAAACAAAAACTTTATTGCTTTCATTATTTTAAAATTAAGATCAAGAAAGAATCAGTAAGCTGCCTGCAGAAAACTGTAAAGCAATAGACCAAAATATACAGAAGTAGGGAAGGATGTTTTTTTACAAATCCATTTTTATTTTGTTTTTGAAAAAAAAAACCGGCATTTGATAATTTTTTAATGCTTTCTATTGTACAATTTTAGATTTTTTAATAAATAGTAGAAAATGTTCACAACATAAAAATCCGTCCTCTGTTATTATTCATTTAATCCTTAAAACATATTTATAGATTAGCATGATAATAGTATATATTGTTATATTGATTATAATATTCTCACATAATGGTGTTCTTAACCTTAAGTATTATACTCGTTCTTAAAATTAATACTTACATAATAGAAAGTCTCACATATTATTAAAATAATGAAGAGAAAAATAGTTGGGGTGGTCAGTCAAAAAAGAAGGCAAAAATAAATGATAATATTTATTTTTGCATATGCCGACGTTTCGACCTGAAGTTCAATCCTTCATCAGGGTTATTTTCTTAGCCCTGATGAAGGCCTAAACTTCAGGTCGAAACGTCGGCATATGTAAAAATAAATATTATCATTTATTTTTGCCCTCTTTTTTGACTGACCACCCTAACTATTCTTCTCTTCATTATCCACGACAGTCAACCATTTACCAATTATTATTAAAATAATGATAATACATTGTAATTAAAAAACTTCTTTGAAATAAATTGAAAATTAAATGATAATTAAAATAATTAATCAGAAATCAAATTTGTAATTTATTTTGTACTCATTTAATCATATTTTTAAAAAAATATATTATTTATTACTCAGTATTTTGTAATTTTTTCTTACTTGAAGTGCCATGAAAATGCAAAGGTACCAAGGCGGAACGTCATCTATACCATACGTTATTTCTATGTTGTACTCACTCTTCTCCTCTGTATTGTTCTTGGTGTCATCTTTGAGGTTGATTAAATGGAGGACCTTAAACATGAGCAAAAAAGAACAATATTAAAGTAGTACACATTACTTTTTTAATTTGACTAATTTTTTAATTATGATAATTTTTTAATTAATATGAACTAAATTCATAATTTCTACGGAGTTATGAATTTCTGGAATGAAAATCTTAAATTCAGGTGACAATGGGAAAAGCATGGATATGACTATAGCAAGTTTAATTTTTTTTAGTTCAGTTCAACTTAGGACCCCGCAGAAGGAAAAGAGTTCCTGTGTCAGGAAGACCTCCAGATTCTGCAAGCCACGCATAATTAAGTAAATTGAAGAATGCAAAGTAAAAAGAGCTAGCTGTGTGCACAGCTGTGAATTTTGTATACTGTTACAATTGCAGTAGTGTGATATTATGCAAAGGCTTAACATTGCATACACCCATATTGCTCTAGTGGAATGGGAGGGTGGAACTAAATAAATAAATAATAATAATCTAACGAGTTTGATGTAACTGCTTAGTTTCTTTGATCTTCCTAGCTAATTCTGTTTATTTAGTTGATGTAGCAGTAGTTCTCTGGACTATTTTTTTAAGCTGCGTCAATCAAGAATAGAGGAGGAGGAAATTGATTGAACGAGTGCATCGAATGATTTTGGGATTAAGAGTGTTACATTCACAAAAAGTTTTGAAATTAAAATAAACATACGCAGTATCCACAAAATAAATAAATGCAATAAGCTAATAATCAACGGCCCATAATATTTCATTAAAAAAAATGTATTTAAATTAAATTAAAATTAACAGAATTACAAAATAATAAATCATGATGTATGTTTGTGTTTTCATAACTATTTGGTTGCAATTAAAGTAAATTAGTACCCATTACTTAATTAATAACCAATTTGCATAATTAAGAATTTCAATTTGTATCCTCATCTTAAAGAACGTTAAATTGTGAGTCGAAGGAGTAACTAAAACTAATTATTTGGTTAAGTTGCATGGTAGAAAACCACGGTCTGAGATCAGGAGCTTAGCAGTGCGGTGCCTTAATCACTGAGCCACCCTTTTTCTCAGCAGCGAAGGACTTTGGAAAAACGATATGTCGAAATATAGCAAATTTCATAAAGAAATAACAAATCCCGATTTCAGATATATTTGGCCTGCAATAAAAATGTCAGTACTCAGTGAACGCAAAATTTGATGCTCTACAACTTCGATTCTGTGTGTTTTTCCTCTAAGGGACTCATTTCCAAGTTACAGGGCCATTTACCGTAATTTGTCTCAATTTTTTTTTAAAATCACCATAGGTTAACCGTGGTTTTACACTTTACCACGTAACCAAATTATGAAGTTTATGTACTTCAACGCAAAATTTAACGTTTTATAGTTTTCTTGAAGTTTACATTTTTCGCTTCGATGCATCATTTAGCTGAAAAAACAAAAAGATATCGAAAAAATCTGACTTTTTTGGCTGTAAAAAGTCTTGGTGGCCCGCGTATATGCACGAGTTAAAAAAATAAAAACTTTTATCACATTTTCGCAATGGATTTCCCCTTTCGATCCTTTTGTTACAGGCCTAATATTCTTTAAATCAGCCGCCAGTTTTGAAAGCAGCGGTTCCTGAATGCCAGACAAGTTCGTTTTTCCTCAGAGTGACACACATTTCGGTAATTTACAATCAAACCTTCGCCTGCGATGAGGTCGTTTTTGAGGTCCTAGCTCGAGGGCTATCAACTGTTGTGCCAGGATGGGTTTTAACAGAGAAAACACTTAACCATCTGCACGTTTTTTTCTCTTAATAAATTATTAAATTAAGAATGCCCACTTTACAGCATCTAGATGCGGCCTAAAGGGGTCTTCCGATCTGTGGCTGATGTAACAGTCTTAAATCTGAGATCAGGAGCTTAGCAGTGCGGTGCCTTAATCACTGAGCCACCCTTTTTCTTTATTTTGAGTGATATATTTCAAAATAAATATCTTCATGTCATACCATAAATTCATTTTACTGACTTAATTAAAGTCAAGCGATTAAAAATCAGAATTAAATATTTTATTTAGCCTAAAAATACACTTTTCTTCGAAGTTTGCCGCTCCCTAAATTCTTCCGCTCCCTTTGTTCCTTTAGATCAGGCCTGCCTTGGATTTATCTTCAATCGAAAAAAAAACCTAAGCATAATATTGTTTAGTTAAATCAGATATATTAGTAGGAAATTAACTACATGTTATCCGTGCTAATTAAGTGTGAGCTTGGGTAACATGAATAATAGTCCGTGGTACAGACTTCTTTTTTCGAATTATTTACATCCGCCTGAAACTTTGTAAATAGTTTCATCTCATCGTTTTATAGACTTAAATATGTCCATTATGAAAAAAAAAAAAAAATTGAATTAGATTTATTTTTCAGAAAATTTATCAAATACAACGTTTAAGTACGATTTCTTAGATAAACTAAAGCAAATTAAACCGGCCTGTAGAAGATTAGTCTAAAAAATTCAACAAACTCTAATATTGCTAATTAAAAACTTTTTTACCTCAGCTCAATTTTGCCAAACAATAATTTCTGTTAAAAGTCAAGATAAAACTTGTGTGATGCAGGCAACAGATTTTCTTACTTTCACTCACTTTTCTTTTTTTTCTCTCATTCACAGCTTAGACACATATTCTTACATAAGAAATTGAATAGCTGTAACGTCGTTAATAGTTGTGAACGATTTTTATATAGTTTTGTAGGGAATTTGGTTACCTTTAGAAAAAAAACAGGCTAGAGAGTGTACTATTATCTGAGAGTAGATACTGAGTATAAAGAGAGTAGTACTGAGGGTAGATATAGACAGTGTACTAAACAGTAAACTAATATAGGTAGGAAAGTAATAAATTAAAACATGTGCAGAAAATAAAATACGCTGTATCATCGCTAATAATGGTTAGATTCCGATGATTTAATTACTTTTCAAAAGTTTTCATATAAATTTTACCGTAGAATACGTACTTAGTGATTTAGGTCCCAAAACATTTATGTTTTCTTTATATATTTTTCCTGAATTTTCTCGGAAATTTAGTCCACATAAGAAAATTGAAAGGATAATTATTAGAACATTATAGCAAAGTTTCATCAAAATCGTTAGATCCGTTTTAGCGCAACAGTCTAGAGAAAAATATGTTTTTCACTTATTGCGCAGCCGATATTGCCTTGGACCGATATTGCCTTGGAGCACCCAATTTCTCTCACAGGCATCAGTAGTCAAAACCCTACAAAATAAAAAAAGGAGCAACACTATTGGTCCCCTAGTTCACGAGATAATCTAGGCAGAGACAGACAGACCAATGGCTGACAATGTGTTTTTCAGACTCAGAGAGCTGTGAAACGTATAGATCCGTCGATAACCGCATGTCGGAAATTTGACCCGATCGCAATACTTCCCTTACGTAGTATAGGTAGGAAAGTAAAAATAGAATCCAAGATCATATCACCACATCAAGACATCCAATCGCATACTGAAAATAAGCGAAAAGTGAAAAAAAAAACTCTTGGTAAGTTTTTACTCGTTCATATTAATAGCTAGTATTAATTAATGTATGCTATATTGCATATTTTCAAAAACATAGACGTGATTAACGTATGTTTTTCTTTTACAAGTTTTCTTATGAATGGTCTTACATTATTATCTTCATTTGTATATTTCATTAGACATGATTTGTATGCGTTTTTCTCATACAATTTTTCTTATGAATGGTTTACAGCATAATCTTCATTTGTTAAGATTGTCACAGATTAAACTCAACCTGTTTTTTTATTTTTTTTTAGATACTGTACAGTGATTAAAAAAGTTCTAATGATCAAAAGCTGAGGATTGGAGTCAGAAATATTTGTATTCCACATTTAAGATATAAGGTACCTATCTTGGAAAAAATGTTGGTTTTGGCTTTAAGGCTAAAACTCTAGTCATTATGTACAAACTAACAGGCCATTAACGCCCGGGGAAATAACATGAAAGATCGCCACCTCGGTAATTCACCTACTTTAAGAGAGCGAAGTGGCCTTGTGGGCTACCGTGTGCAAAACACGCGTTGCCCGGCAACCTGATATAACCGATGATAACATGATAAAGTAACTAAGACTAGGTGCCGGTGGGAGGGCTTTTAATTCTACTAAATTATATTGAGTTTGGTCACTCAGGAGTAGGGGAATATTTTACTTCTTTGTGATGTAGTTAATGCTAGATTTTCCACACAACAATGTGTTATTGCTATATCCGAATCACCTTAATGACCATCATTAACAAAAGAGAAGAAATAAGGAAAGAGAAGGGTGAAAAGACGAGGAAATAACTTGGAATTGAAGAATAATTAATACTTATCCTTCTAACATAAGGCTGTGGCATAGAATGGACAGAAAATATCCATCTCCTTTCATGTCATATGTACATCAGTAAACTAACAATAGGACTTATCTATTTATCACCAATTCCAGAAGTTGGAAAATACTCAACAAAAATCTTGACTAAATTTACTTAAATACTATGTATTTCGTACCAAATACAAATACCACTGTTACCCTTCCTAAACCTATGACTTACTTTCACGCAGTAATCTTTAAAAAAAATAATTCACTTATCCTTGTTGAACGAATTTGCTATATAGAACTCCATCTGGAGAAACATCTTACTAGGAATCCTCATACAAGACTAAAACGACAAAACACTACAAGACGTTTCCGACTACTTCAACGCTTATCAGACAAACGTTCTAAACTTCCAATTAATTATAAACAATGCATTTACTTGATTATAATAAAGCCTATTAGGACTTTGGAGTCAAACTTTGGGACTCGACTAAACCATCAAATTCTTCTCGTATTCCAGTGCTCATAATCCAAAATCTTAAATGCTTTCGACTTTGTCACAAATAGATTTAGCTATCATGACCTTGTCATTACGTTAATGTTAACATAATGTTACATATGTTACCGATTTAGCCCATTCCAGATTCTATAATAAACTTAAAGCCAGAGATGGACAAATGCTGCTCTGCATAC